GGTATTCTGTCAAAAGAGCCAATGCTGAATTAGTTCACAATTTCTTTCAATGCAAAACTCCAAGGGAGGTCTCATCCTTCTTATCTAGAGATGAGAAAGTGATAGTTGCCCTTGAAATGCTGTCAGATTCCAACGTTCATCAGCACACCCAAAATAGATGCCACTGGTCCAACAATATCAAGAGGGTCAAAAATTCTAATCAATCTTTGAAAAACAAGCTACACATGATATAGCGGTGGGAATGAGATGCTAGAATATGACATATCACTTCAGACATGGATGGCTTGAGGACTATGCATGGGGGCATTACCCCGCCCACATTTTGTGGGTAGGCCATCTGGTTCAATAACGAAGCCTCCACTGGCTTCCAATTATGAGCTAGTCAACACATGGTTTATTTCACAATTTCACTCCCATGCACCATCACAAGATTCTTCCACCACATTCTGCTCTGGCCAGAAAGAGCATGAGTTGGTGTCAAGGGGAGGAACTTTGATGACTTTGTGCCAGTTGAACATCCCACTTCGAAGCACTAAAGAAACTCCATAGTGCTTCTGCGGAGAAGTTCACAAGATCCCCGGAGACAATTTTCATTCTTTCCCCTGAATCTTTAATGAAAAGACACACCAGTTAATTGACAGAACAGAAAACAAAGCATTTTCTATCTACTCTATTGAGGGTTCTGTAATTAAAAAGGTTCTTTGGTCTACAAAGTAAAACCAGGAGGCCGGGATACACCAGCATCCATAATTCAAGAGGATACATTATTTACAAGATTTCTTTAAAATTTAAGGGTGGTTTGATGAGTATTGGTGAAAATAGCTCAAAAGCTACATTCTCGGCAGCGTAGGGGGAAAAAGAGGCATTTTCATTTTGCCTTTCTCAGGCTTGTACATAGCCAGCGATCCTGCATGTACTAACATAATTCCAGAGGCTGAAAGTATTGATTTTTAAAATAAACTTTCTAGATTCCGGAATTGCAAAAGAGAGCTTCAGAGACAGTCATACAAACCTGGAAAGGACTAAAGATCCTTCCACATGGTTGTATAAAATCCACACTGATTTGGAGATATCTTCGAGTGATTTTGCACCCTCCATGTTTGAAAATTTTGTGAGATTACACCACAACAGCTAGCAAAGTATAATAAAAACTATAATAACCAGTGCTGGAAATGTGGGAAGGAATTTGGATCATATTATCATTTATGGTGGGACTGTAAAGTAACCAGGGGCGGCTCATCCATTACGTGAAGTAAGTGGTCGCAGAACACTTTTTTTGCCAGGGGTGCAGAGGCGCCTTTGTACATGCCCCTCGACTACCACTTGAGGAGCGCCCCCTCAGCTCACAACAGCCCTAGCAGTCCGGGGGGAGTCTCGGATTTCTTGCCTCGCTGCCGGGCGATCCTTTTCCCAAAGGGGCCGAGCCCTTGAGCCTCGCCTAGCCCCTCTCGTTCCTGCTCCACCCGGCCACCGGGTGCGCGAGCAGAGCCGGCGCTCAATCGTTCTCCGCGTTCGATCCCTTCCCCATGACCGGCTCCCTTTCCCAATCCCCCGGCGCTCCACCCGCCTCCTCTCCCCAATCCGCAAGTGGGCGGAGCTCTTTGATTGTAGGTGAACTATACATCCCAGTAACTACACTTGCCACATTTGCTCCCTTGCCTGGCCCGCTTCGGGTCCGGAGGCATGTCTGAAGACCCCAGCATGCGCACCAAAAGTCGCCTCTTCTCCTGACTTTCTCTTCAGCCATTGGGACCGAGAGAGAGAGAGAGCCTCTCCGGCTGGAGGTATCTCCCACCTCCGCTCCCTCCTTTGTTTTTGCGCCTACCTTCAGGAAAGGTGGGCATCTCCACCACTCTCTCTCTCTCTCTCTCTCTCTCTCTCTCTCAGGAGGTGACTTTTGGTGCACATGTCGGGGTCTTCAGGCACGCCTCCGGACCCAAAGCGGGCCAGGCAAGGGAGCAAATGCGGCAAGTGTAGTTACTGGGATGTATAGTTCACCTACAATCAAAGAGCATTCTGAACTCCACCAGTGATGGAATTGAACCAAATATGGCACACAGAACTCCCACGACGAACAGAAAATATATATCAATGATTGGTTGGGGGGAGGGCGCCAAAATACTGTTTGCTTACCGTTGAAAATTACCTAGGGCCGCCTCTGAAAGTAACTAAAAGGTTCTGGAAAGAAATTCATAAGCACTTACAAAACATCGTTAAAACAAAATATGACTTGAGGCCTGAGTATTACCTGCTGAATATAACAGACTTCGAAATAGTAAAAAACAAAGACAATATTGTTTTTATTTATCAACAGTAGCGGGAATAGTAATAGCATAGAAATGGAGAGAAAAAGAACCTCCAACAATTGAGAACTGGTTCATTAAAATAGCAGAATATCAGAATACATGAATATGGACTCACTGACGCAGATATTAAAAGATCAGCATTAACTCCCAGCATTATGTCCTCTAAATGCACTTTACTATGGATCTTGGAATGTCTGCATGCCCCATCCCTCTCTGAAAACTCTATCCTAGTTCATATTCGTCTGTTCATGCTCTGCATTATCTTTAAATTTTAATTATTACATCTGGCCCAACCATAGGTTTTAACTGTCGTTGTGTTATTGTTAATGTTTATTGCTTTTTTGTTTTGAGTTTCATTTTATTGCTTTGTATTATTTGTTGTTATTGCTTTATTATTGATGTATTGTGGGCTCGGCCTCATGTAAGCCGCACCGAGTCCCTTGGGAGATGGTAGCGGGGTATAAATAAAGTTTTATTATGATTATTATTATCAGCACAAAGCGAGTAAAACAGAGGATGCTTGCCATAGATGCAGGCGAAACATCAGGAGAAATGCCTCTAGAACATGGCCCTATAGCCCGAAAAAACCCACAAGAACCTAGTGATTCCAGCCATGAAAGCTTTCGACAATACAGATTGGAAATCATTGAGAACTTATCTACAGGAGAAAATGAAATCGATTAAGGAAAATAAATGAAGAATTAGATTTAAAAAGTCGACCAAACCAAACAGGTAGTGAAATTTAAGGAAATAAATGCAACATAGAAAGGATATCTCCCTGCGGAATGGACTGGAAGACTTCAATCCCCCCCCCCCCACCTTACCCCCATTACCCTACCCATACCCACCTTGACCTAACCCCCATTCGCTACCCCTAGTACCAACCGAATCTTTTCCTATTTCCCCACTTTCCTATACACTCAACATGTTCCCCCTCTTTTTAATGTACTCTGAAAAATCCTTAATAAAAATATTTTTTTAAAAAAATAAAATTTTGTGAGATTTGGAGGTTTGGAAAAATCTAGGGAAAGCTGTTGGCACAGCGAGTTAAACCACCAGCTACAGAAAATATTGCCAACTGGAAGGTTGGCAGTTCAAGCCACAGGTCTGGGTGAGCTCCCATCATCAGCCCTAGCTTCTGCTTACCTAGCAGTTCAAAAACAGCAATGTGAGTAGATCAATAGGTACCGCTTTGGCAGGAAGGTAAAAGGTGCCCCTGAAGAAGTCATACCAGCAATTTGATCAGGAAGGTGTCCATGGACAACAGGCTCCTCAGCATGGAAAACTGGAACAACAGCACCTCCTCATGGCCAAGTCGAGCACAGCCTCCAGATACCAGAAATGAAAAAGGAGGAAGCCTTGCCTCTGTCTTTGTTAATTGTACAACGGCATTGAATGTTTTCCTTGTATATGTTCTGTAATCCGCTCTGAGTCCCCTCAGGGAGATAGAGCAGAATATAAACAAAGATGATGATGACGACGATGATGATTATTATTATTACTATTACTATTATTACTATTAGCTGCAGAAAGGGGATTTGGGCATATGTGTCCTCCCAGGGCAATTTCACAACCTCTGGTTTACAGTAATGAAAGAAAGGCCTCATCTATACTGCCATATAAAATCCAGATTATCTGCTTTGAACTTGATTATATGGCAGTGTAGACTCATGTAATCCAGTTCAAAGGAAATAAACTGGGTTATATACTGTGATAATCTGGATTATATAGCAGTATAGATCCAGTACATAGGTGATCCAAAAACGGCTCTAAACTTTCACGCTAGCAGAAAATAGAAAGGGTTTTACAACCAGAAATACATTAAGTCTGATAATTGAAACAAAATATGTAGATAATGACATGTTAATGCATGCATTTTTGTAATGTATTTCTGACAAGATGTAAATATTTTGCAGTGTTTGAAGGAGGGGCCATTTACACATTTACATAATTTCTTTCTCAGCCACATAAATATAACAAAGAACTTGACACCAAGGCAATAAAACTGTGTTGTGTATAACACACCCACCCACACCCAGAGGTGTATGAGGTAGATTTAGTGTTCCAACTGGAATTACAAGTACCCTATTGCAACATCACATCATCAGAGCAAGACCCACATAACTAAGCCAGTGGCAGCAGAGACCTCAAAGATGCAACTCAAGAGTTTTGGATCAGCTCTTCTACTGAATCTGTCTCCATGCCAACTTCTCTCCAAAGGCAGTCTGCTCTGCAGTGAAGACAACAGGGGTGATCCAATGGCAATGTGGCCTTGACTGGACCTTCACACTTTGTCATTGAGCTTCTTGACACCACATCATCAGGGCAAGACCTGCATAACTAAGCCAGAGCTCCTCGGCACATCACCAAGACAAGATCTCGGCACCACTAGTTTAACTAACCAACTAAGCTCCACTAAGATAAGTTCAGAGCTGACTTCAGTCAGTGCCATATCTACCAGCCACTACAATAGGCAAGTAAATGGCTAGTGATAGTGACAGTGACGGGCCAGGAGTCACTGTCACTATCGGCCCAGCAGTTGTCTCATTATATAGTAGCAATGGACCCCATTCTACATTTTGTACATTATGAATTCATTTCCAGATATTGTTTAAGGTGCTAGGTGACCTTCATCACACTACATGGTTTAGTACTAGGTTATTTGAAGGACCACATAGAAACGTATGAACCTGCTTAGACCTTTAGACTCTTTTTATTAGTTATCAGGAGATGATGATGACATAACCTCACAATTGACTCGTAAGCTGCCATCCTTGTCAATGGCAACTTGCAGAATAAAGTAATAAAAGAGACTGTGGACTATACAGCATCTCTGCAAGATCACCAAGAGCTGGGAAGTGTTATGAGACAAATCAAACAAGTACATAATATCACCAGTGTTAAATTATCATAGAAACTATAATAGAGTCAGAAATTCAAGTGCTCTGTCTGAATAGTTTATGTCCTCCTGTGATCGAAAATTCATTTGACTTTCATGGTGTTGGACCTCTTCCTCTTCAACAGGATGTAGCAGCAATGGAGGTCAGTGGCAGGTTTCGGTGAAAAATCGGGTTAAGTAATTGAGATGACAACCTTGCCTGTAGATTTACGTTGGGTCACGTGGGCAAAAGCTTCATTTATCTACAAAAAATAAGGAAAGAGGTTTAAAAGCTATAGAAATGCATATACTATCGCCTTTCTAGTTGACGATACCAACTACCTAGATCGTTCACAGTCTGGTTTCAGGCCTGGTCATGGCACCGAGACAGCCTTGGTCGCCTTGGTGGATGACCTCCGCAGAGAGCTGGACAGGGGGAGTGTGACTCTGTTGGTTCTCTTGGACATCTCAGCGGCTTTCGATACCATCGATCATGGTATCCTTCTGGGTCGTCTCTCGGGGATGGGCCTCGGGGGCGCGGTTCTGTCGTGGCTCCGGTCCTTCCTGGAGGGACAAACCCAGATGGTGAAGCTGGGAGATGCCTGCTTGGACCCCTGGCCTTTGACCTGTGAGGTCCTGCAAGGCTCTATTCTGTCTCCCATGCTTTTTAACATCTACATGAAACCTGGGAGAGGTCATCCGGAGTTTTGGAGTTGGGTGCCATCTCTATGCGGATGACACACAACTCTACTACTCCTTTCCACCTAATTCCAAGGAGGCCTCTCGGGTGCTGGACGAGTGCCTGGCCGCTGTGTCTATCTGGATGAGGAGGAACAAGCTGAAGATCAATCCTGATAAGACAGAGGTCCTCCTGGTCGATCGCAAACCGGATCGGGGTATAGGGTGGCACCTGTGTTGGACGGGGTTACACTCCCCCTAAAGCCACAGGTCCGCAGTTTGGGCGTCCTCTTGGATTCTTCGCTTACACTTGAGGCTCAGGTGTCGGCAGTATCCGGGAGGGCCTTTGCGCAACTGAGACTTGTGCGCCAACTGCGACCATACCTCGTGAAGGCTGATCTGGCCGGGGTGGTCCACGCCTTGGTCACCTCTAGAATGGATTACTGCAATGCGCTCTACGTGGGGCTGCCCTTGAAGACGGCTCGGAAACTTCAATTGGTTCAGCGGGCAGCTGCCAGGATGTTAACTGGGGCGCATTATCAAGAGAGGTCTACCCCTCTGTTTAAGGAGCTCCACTGGCTGCCGTTTATTTTCCGAGCCCAATTCAAGGTGCAGGTGCTTACCTACAAAGCCCTAAACGGTTTGGGACCACCCTACCTGCGTGACCGCATCACTATCTACAAACCCACACGCTCGCTCCGGTCATCTGGAGAGGCCCTGCTCGTGATCCCACCTATGTCGCAAGTGCGCTTGGTGGGGACACGGGACAGGGCCTTTTCTGTGGCGGCCCCCCGACTTTGGAACGCCCTCCCAAAAGATCTCAGACAGGCCCCTACTCTAGCCGTTTTCAGAAGGAATTTAAAAACTTGGCTGTTCCGTTGTGCCTTCTCAGATTAGGAATCCCCACCCAAGTCCAAATAGCACCTTAGCATAACAATCGTTACTGCACACCGCACTTGAAATCCTACGTGCCTCCTGCCATTTCAGCACTTTTAATCCCTTGTACCCAGTGCGCCGGCCGAACCAGTTTTAATAATGTCTTGATGTACTGCTATTGTTGTTATTTTGCTATTGTTTGATTTGTTCTGCTTTTGTGATGTCTGTTTCTATTATATTGTGTTTTGTGGCTTCGGCCTGTGTAAGCCGCATCGAGTCCTTCGGGAGATGCTAGCGGGGTACAAATAAAGTTAATAATAATAATAATAATAATTCTTACACCGAACACTGTAAGTTTTTGTGCCATTGTTCATGTAAAAATGGTTTATTCATACAAGGGGCTGCTGATAAGTCTTTGGCTTTGTGTTCTTTTTTTTTGTTTCTATGGTAACAAATGTTACATCACATAAAAGTCTTATGTGTCTAATATATGTTTTCAAAATTTTGTGTTTGTAGCTTATGGCAACAGTGATTTAGGCACACGGGAAAACAAAATGGCAGTCTAAGGCGATATTCACAGCAAATAAGAGCAGAGGAGTGATAAAATTCTTGTTTCTGCAAGGAAGGATATTCATGGTGATATGTCGCAGACATTGGGGGATCCATGCCCTTCATATTCTACAGTTAAGAACTGGGTTGCCAAATTTAAAATGGCCACTTTAGCACCAATGATAAGGAATGTCCTGGGTGACATTCCAAAAGTGGTTATTGTTCCAGAGATCGTCAATGCTGTGCACAACCTCATATTGGAGAATCAGCAAATTTCAGCTAAAGTAAGAGCGGACATCATGGGGATTTCTCATAGCGGACATCATGGGCATTTCCCATGAACTTGCTTGTGTCATGATCCATGAACATTTGAACATGAAGAAGCTATCTGCAAAGTGGGTCCCCAAATGTTTGACATCAGATCAGAAAAGCATGTGAGTGAAAACTTCCCAGTCCATTTGTCAGCGTTTCCGGACTGATAAGAACTTCCTGGATCAACTGGTCACTATGGACGAGACCTGGATTTATTTGTATGACCCTGAAACCAAGAAGCAGTCAAAAGAGTGGAGGCGCAGTGGTTCTTCTTGACCAAAGAAGTTCAGGATGCAAAAATCAGCCACTAAGACGATGGCATCTGTGTTCAGGGATAAGAAGGGCGTGCTGCTAATGGACTACCTTCAAAATGGTTCCACCATCAATGCAAGGTATTACATTGAACTTTTGGACCAATTGAAGGCAGCTCTGAAGGTCAAAAGGTGCGGCAAGCTGTGCAAAGGAATCTTGTTCCTGCAAGACAACGCCTCCACTCATACTGCACAAGCGACCATGGCAAAACTGGTGGAGCTAGGCTTCCAGCTGGTTGACCACCCACCTTATTCACAGGATCTATCTCCCTCCGACTATCATCTGTTTCCAAACCTGAAGAAATACCTCAAGGGTACCAAATTTCTCACCATTTCTGATGCCATGGCTGCTACGGTTGACTGGTTTGAGGCACAACCATAATCCTTTTTGCAAGGCTTACAGAACTTGGAATACTGATGTAAGAAGTGTGTTGATATCAGTGGAGAGTATGTGGAATAAATGTAAAGTTTTATCTTCCTATCTCGTTTCTTTCTGGGTAAAGCCAAAGACTTATCAGCAGCCCCTCATATAAGAGGCAGCCCTCAAGTTACAAACAAGATAGGTTCTGTAGGATGTACGTCGGAACTGGTACATTTTTAAGAGTAACTCCAGTGAGAGAGAGAGAGAGAGAGAGAGAGCACTTTAGATAGCATAGGGAAGGGTTAACAGCCCTGTTGCGATTTCGCCTCACTTTCTGTCCCTGTGATACTTTGGCTCATTGTGGTAACAAGGATCGGTGATATAGTTTCAGTGGAGACACCTTTTTCCCATGATAGCTCACTTTCATGAGTGCATTTCCCTTCCTAGTGGTAGATTTCTCTTACCCCCGCTCTTAACTATGAGTCATTTGTAAGTCGGATGTTTGTAACTTGGTGACTACCTGTACCCTGATCAGATGGGCCTAAGACTTCTTCAAATATGGCATCAAGTAAGTAGAGTTGTGCAAGGACAGAATCAAGTCCAATCAAAACAGCCTTTACAGTGCCTGCACTAATTTGAACAGAATCCAGTTGATGTTTGTTTTTTGATGCAGGAAAGGATTCCAGCAATTAAGGACAATGACTAAGAAGGACACTGAGACATTTACCCAAATGAAATGTGGTAGAAATGTTTGTACTTGTTTAATGAGATAGTTACAGGAACTTGAGTGTTAATCAGAAACAATCAGTAGCAGATGGGTGAATTAGAGACTCCGCTAACTGCTTCTGTTATTTTCAGTTGCAGACAGCACAGGAATCTCCTGGCAAAGAAACCTTCAGCAGTGAAGCCCAAGTTTAATGTTTATCTACCCTTCCTCCAAGGTGATGTCAAAGACTTTTGCAGTTTGTCCCCTTTCTTCAACATAGCAACCCTATGAAGTCGGTTAAGAGACAAAGGCCCCTTCCACACAGCTGAATAAAATCCCACATTATCTGCTTTGAACTGGGATATATGGCAGTTTTATTTATTTCGTATCAAAAGCATTGCATAAATTAGTATAAAACTGATAAAAAAGAAGTTGTGCAGGTGACTAAATATCTTTTGACCAAAAACGGGCAACAGCAACGTCATTGTCTGTAGCCTCCAACAATTCCTCCTCTGTACATGAGGCAGGGCACAATGGACAAGCATACAGATGCAGAGTTGTCTGTTCTGCTCCATAGTCACATAAGGTATGGGATTCTTTTAGGTAGTGCCATTTTGCCTACGGGACATCTGTAGGGATACCAAGGTGCTTGTCTATAAAGCTATTGTCCTCCCAACCCTGCTATATGCCTGCGAAACGTGGACTGTCTACAGACGTCACATGCAACTCCTGGAACGATTCCATCAGCGCTGCCTCCGGAAAATCCTGCAAATCTCTTGGGAAGATTAGCGGACAAATGTCAGCATGCTGGAAGAAGCAAAGACCACCAGCATTGAAGCAATGGTCCTCCGCCATCAACACCGCTGGACAGGTCACGTTGTCCAGATGCCCAACCACCGTGTCCCAAAGCAGTTGCTCTACTCCGAACTCAAGAATGGAAAACGGAATGTTGGTGGACAGGAAAAGAGATTCAAAGATGGGCTCAAAGCCAACCTTAAAAACTCTGGCATAGACACTGAGAACTGGGAAGCCCTGGCCCTTGAGCACTCCAGCTGGAGGTCAGCTGTGACCAGCAGTGCTGCAGAATTTGAAGAGGCATGAATGGAGGGTGAAAGAGAGGAATGTGCCAGGAGGAAAGACCATCAAGCCAACCCCAACCGAGATCGCCTTCAACCTGGAAACCAATGTCCTCACTGTGGGAGAAGATCCACAGCCACCTATGGATCCACAAGAATACTGATCATGGAAGACTATCCTACTCATCCAACGAGGGATCGCCTAAGTAAGTAAGCCATTTTGCCAGGTTGTCTTTTGATCTGCCCACTCCGCTTCTGACTCTATTCAGGGACTTCCAGGTTGCCCATTCTTGGTTTGCTCCTGGAGGAAGACCCTTGAAGGGGGCCATGGCAGTGAGGACTCAGATAACCCGGTTCAAAACATATTATTATTATTATTACCTCTGGGGATCCAAATTGTGTAAAAGCTACAGAACACCAACCAATATATTAAAAATAAAGTTGACCTTTTGTATCCATGGATTCAACGGCCCTTTTGGGGCAACCGTAAGACTGAAGTGGCCTTGGAGGAAAATGAGTTTGATACTTCTGGCTTTGGGTCTATATCATGTAAACAAGTAATTAATTTAATTACTCCTCTGTGTCTAATTTTAGTATATACCAGTCTAATATATTAGAAAGAATGCTAGTCTTGACATTCTTGACTTACTATGAATGTCATCGTTATTATTTATGATTTATTATTATTCCACTACTGTTATTGTTACATTTATTTAAATCTTGCCACTATAACATTAAACGTAGCAGGCCCGGAAACTATCTGCTATTTAGAATGAACAGTTTAAAAAATTGCACCATATGTTCTTTCTGAATGTGTGAATTCACTTGAAGGCCTTTCCACTGCAGCTATTCCTTGAGAACACATTAAGTAAACAAGCTTCTATTAAAACAAATGTTCTCCCAAGCTTTGTGTATCCTTACCTCTTCCAGTCTGAACACTGCTCCTATATGTGGTTGGATTCGTCCTTCCTGGCAGTGCAAAACAGCAGATGAGATTGTGGAGGAAAAGACCGGGAAATCTTGCTCACGATACCGGCCCCAGAACAGTCCCAGGGCAGATATATTCTTCAGAAGCAGCAGATTGGCTGGAATAGAAGGGATAGTTCCTCCGGCAAAACCAACCACTACAATCCTACCTTCCCAAGCCAGGCTGAAATATGACAGGAAGGAGAGTGAGAATAATCAATGCCAGGATCAAAATGCCAATGTACCAAGATTAATATTTTGATTACACTTTGAACATGGACATCATTTATCCCTGAAGGACAACTGCTCCAGTAAACAAATAACAAGTAGCTTGCTGCATGGAAAGAGGCATATGTGATGTCAATAAGGGAAAATTGGGGACAATCTGCATCAGAAAGCACCTGAACACCAGAACATACTGCTATAGAAGTTACTGCTAACTTGGTTACAGTATGAGATTTTTTTTAAAAAGTAAACAGAAGAAAAAGGGGGGGGGGATGTACTTCTTGAATAGTGCCCTACATCATTCAATAGCATGTATATGAAACCAATAGTCTTTGGTTCAAGAAAATCCCACCATGGCCTACTTAAAATAATAATAATAATAATAATAATAATAATAATAATAATAATAATAATAATAATAATCCTTTATTTGTACCTCGCTACCATCTCCCGAAGGACTCGGTGCGGCTTACATGAGGCTGAGCCCAAATACAATAGTAAAAACAATAACAACAACAACTCAAAAAAACAAAGCAATGACATTAACAACACACAATGATGCAATTACTTAAAAAAAAGGATCCTGCTCTTTTATGTGGTATTTTGTATCTGCAAAAAAACCTTATACAATTTTCAGATTTGGAATTTATGTTAAGTGGCAGAAGAGACATAAACTCACAATAAATCGGATTGTGTGGTTTTAACAATGTGTTTTAATCCCTCTATGGTTTTAAAATTATTTTTTAAATGATGTAATTTAAATTATTATTATTATTATTATTATTATTATTATTATTATTATTACTTTATTTGTACCCCACTAGCATCTCCCGAGGGATTCAATGCGGTTTACACAGGCCGAAGCCTCAAAACATAATACAAACAATACAATACCTAAAGCAAATTAAAAACAGTTAAGCAGAGTAAACAATAACAGTAACAATACAACAAGACACTATTAAAACTGGGCCGGCCAGAGTAGTGGGTACAGGATTAAAAGTGCTGATGTGGCGTGAGGAATATAGGATTATAAATAAGTGCAGTGTGCGGTGTGCAGTGATCTTGGTTCTACTAAAGTGCTTCTAGGACTTAGTATTGGAGGTTCCTAATCTGAAAAGGCACATCGGAACAGCCAGGTTTTCAAATTCTTTCTGAAGACTGCCAATGTAGGGGCCTGTCTGAGATCTTTTGGGAGGGCGTTCCAAAGTCGGGGGGCCACCACAGAAAAGGCCCTGTCTCGTGTCCCCACCAAGCGCGGAGGAAAGTGCTGAGAGTGCCTTGGACAGCGAGAAGATCCAACCAGTTGATACTTCAAGAAATAAAGCCTGACTGCTCATTGGAGGGAAGAATAGTGGAAGCCAAGATGAAGTACTTTGGCCACATCATGAGAAGAAAGGAAAGTTTAGAGAAGACAATGATGCTGGGGAAAATGGAAGGAAAAAGGAAGAGGGGCCGACCAAGGGCAAGATGGATGGATGGTATTCTTGAAGTGGCTGGATTGATCTTGAAGGAGGTGGGGGTGGCCACGGCCAACAGGGAGCTCTGACGTGGACTGGTCCATGAAGTCACGAAGAGTCGGAAACGACTGAATGAATGAACAACAACAAACAATTTAAATTATTTTTTAACTGGGCCGGGCTGGTAGCACAACTGGTTAAACAGCTGTAATAAATCACTGCCGACCGAAAGGTGGCAAGTTCGAAGTTCGAGTCGGGGTTGAGCGCCTGAGCTGTTAAAAAAAAAAAGCCCAGCTCACTGTCGACCTAAGCAGTTCGAAAATAGCTGTGAGTAGAGGAATTAGTGACCGCTTAAAGCGGGGAGACTAATTTTAAAAAATGTCGGAGAGCAAGGAGGAAATACTGCGATCAAAAAGGCTTAACGTCATAGTGGACGAAGCGACAGCTCCCCCTGTTGCCGAATTGAGCCTCCAGGACCCAAAAATGGAAGAACTGCTGAATGGCCTCTGTCTATCTGTATGTTTTGTATGTCAAAAAAGGCATTGAATGTTTGCCGTGTATATGTACATTGTGATCCGCCCTGAGTCCCCTTTGGGGTGAGAAGGGCGGAATATAAATACTGTAAATAAATAAAATAAATAAATATGTTTATTTTATATTGGTGGTTGATAAGGCATCAAATTGCTGCCTTTTGTAAGGCTGGTCTGAGTCCCCTTTGGGGTGAGAAGGGCGGGGTATAAATACTGTAAATAAATAATAAATGAATACCACAGCGCATGTATGGATTTTAACGGTACTGAAGGACTCTGAGCAACTCTTTGTATGAAACACTGTAAAAAAATCAATCAAATCCATAGATGTTTGCTCAACCAGCAGCTGAGCTAAAATAAACAACAGGAGGACCTAAATGCTATATCAATTTTAATCTTTTTGATCTTTTTTCTTCCAATCCATCCACAAAGACACATTCTGTGAAACCAAAAACTGTTGTACATTGTTATTATTATTATTATTATTATTATATTATTATTAACTTTATTTGTACCCCGCAAGCATCTCCCGAAGGACTCGATGCGGCTTACACAGGCCGAAGCCTCAAACACAATACAGTAAAACATAACACACAATAACAAAGCAAATCAACAAAAGCAAAATAACAACAATGGCAATACATCAAAACATTATTAAAACTGGTTCGGCCGGCGCACTGGGGTACTAGGGTTAAAAGTGCTGAAATGGCAGGAGGCACGTAGGTTTAAAAGTGCGGTGTGCAGCAACGGTTTGTTAAACTAAAGTGCTACTAGGACTTGGGTGGGGATTCCTAGTCTGGGAAAGCACAACGGAACAGCCAAGTTTTTAAATTCCTTCTAAAAACGGCTAGAGTAGGGGCCTGTCTGAGATCTTTTGGAAGGGCGTTCCAAAGTCGGGGGGCCGCCACAGAAAAGGCCCTGTCCCGTGTCCCCACCAAGCGCGCTTGCGACGTGGGTGGGATCACGAGCAAGGCCTCTCCAGATGACCGAAGCGAGCGTGCGGGTTCGTAGATGGTGATGCGGTCACGCAGGTAGGGTGGTCCCAAACCGTTTAGGGCTTTGTAGGTGAGCACCTGCACCTTGAATTGGGCTCGGAAAATAAATGGCAGCCAGTGGAGCTCCTTAAACAGAGGGGTAGACCTCTCTTGATAATGAGCCCCAGTTAGCATCCTGGCTGCTGCCCGCTGAACCAATTGAAGTTTCCGAGCCGTCTTCAAGGGCAGCCCCACGTAGAGCGCATTGCAGTAATCCATTCTAGAGGTGACCAAGGCGTGGACCACCCCGGCCAGATCAGCCTTCACGAGGTACGGTCGCAGCTGGCGCACAAGTCTTAGTTGCGCAAAGGCCCTCCCGGAAACCGCCGACACCTGAGCCTCAAGTGTAAGCGAGGAATCCAAGAGGACACCCAAACTGCGGACCTGTGACTTTAGGGGGAGTGTAACCCCGTCCAACACAGGTAACCACCCTATACCCCGATCCGGTTTGCGATCGACCAGGAGGACCTCTGTCTTGTCGGGATTGATCTTCAGCCTGTTCCTCCTCATCCAGATCGACACAGCGGCCAGGCACTCGTCCAGCACCCGAGAGGCCTCCTTGGAATTAGGTGGAAAAGAGTAGTAGAGTTGTGCGTCATCCGCGTAGAGATGGCACCCAACTCCAAAACTCCGGATGACCTCTCCCAGCGGTTTCATGTAGATGTTAAAAAGCATGGGAGACAAAATAGAGCCTTGCGGGACCCCACAGGTCAAAGGCCAGGGGTCAGAGCAGGCGTCTCCCAGCTTCACCATCTGAGTTCGTCCCTCCAGGAAGGACTGGAGCCACGACAGAACCGTGCCCCCAAGGCCCATCCCGGAGAGACGACCCAGAAGGATACCATGATCGATGGTATCGAAAGCCGCTGAGATGTCCAAGAGAACCAGCAGAGTCACACTCCCCCTGTCCAGTTCTCTGCGGAGGTCATCCACCAAGGCGACCAAGGCTGTCTCGGTGCCATGACCAGGCCTGAAACCAGACTGTGATTGATCTAGATAGTTGGTGTCGTCTAGGAAGCCCTGGAGCTGAGAGGCGACCACCCTCTCCATCACCTTACCCAAAAACGGGAGGTTGGAGATCGGCCTGTAGTTATTCAGCACCGTGGAGTCAAGGGAAGCTTTTTTGATAAGTGGGCGAACCACGGCTTGCTTCAAATTAGATGGAAAAATTCCTTGCTCCAATGATGCATTAACAATCGGTACAAACCAGTCAAGCAACCCCCCTCTGGCTGATTTAATGAGCCAAGATGGGCATGGGTCTAGAGATGAGGTGGTCGCTCTCACAGCTCCAAGAATCTCCTCTACGGTTTCAGGAAGAACAGGCCTAAAAGAATCCCACAAAATTGGACAAGCAGGTACCTCCGTCACCTCTTCAGGCACTGCGATGGAATTGGAGTCGAGCTCGAGACGTATCTGGGCGACTTTATCTGCAAAATGGTGCGCGAAGTCGCAACACCGAGCTGCGGGGTCGTCAAGGACCTCCTCCACCACAGGTGGGTGGAGGAGTTCCCCCACGACCCGAAACAGCTCCGATGATCTATTTGCTGCAGATGCTATACGAGCGGTCGTGAATGACTTCCTGGCCGCCCGTATGGCCACGGAGTATGCCTTAAGAGAGGCTCTAGCCCGTGTTCGATCAGATACATCCCGAGATTTCCTCCATTTGCGCTCTAGCCCCCTTCTCGTATGCTTCATCACAGCCAGCTCCTCGGTGAACCAAGGAGATGGCTTGTCACGACGCAACGAGATGGGGCGTTCGGGTGCGATCGTATCTAACGCCCTGGCCATCTCCCGGTTATAGAGAGTTACCATGGCGTCGATAGAATCGCCAGGCTCCAAGGCAGGAAGAACCCCAAGATTCCTCAGGAATCCGTCCGGATCCATCAGTCTCCTAGGGCGGACCATCTTAATTTGTCCTCCACCCCTGCGGAGGTTTAGGGTCGCAGTAAGTCTAAATGTGATCAGATGATGGTCAGACCATGACACTGGAAGAATGTTTTGATCTTCCACTCTGATCAATTCATCGTCCGCCACGAAGATAAGGTCAAGAGTGTGCCCAGCTTGATGAGTGGGACCAGATATTATCTGTGACAGTCCCATGGCCGTCATGGTGGCCATAAAGTCCTGAGCTGCGCCAGATAAAGTGGTCTCGGCGTGGATGTTAAAGTCTCCCAGCACCACCAGGCGCTGGGAGACCAAGGCCGAATTAGAGACCACTTCCGCTAACTCAGACAGGGAAGCTGCTGGATCTCGGGGTGGACGATACACCAGCAGGAACCCCACACTGTCACGGCTCCCCACCTTCAAGTGGACGCACTCAAACCCAGAAGCTTGCGGGACAACGCATCTGGTCACGGCGATGGATTGCCGAAAGACCACTGCGACCCCTCCTCCCCGCCCCCCTTGTCTGGCCTGTTGATGCACTCCAAAACCTGGAGGGCACAGCTGGGAAAGGTTTACATCCCCCACCTCGCCCAACCAGGTCTCGGTAATGCATGCCAGATCCGCCCTCTCATCCAGGATCAAGTCCTGGATGGCCGCGGTCTTACCATTGACGGATCTGGCATTAATCAACAGGATCTTAAGACCAAGGGGGCTGCCAAGGAGCCTACCACTACCCACCTTTTCCAGGGTCGCAAGAACTCTGTTGCGCTTCTCCCTGTGATGTTTGTGATCCGCATTGCTCTGAAAATGCTAATTAAATGTGGTATTTAAATGATCCTGCAAATTTTTGTTCTTGTAGATTAACAAAGTGCTCTGTTTGCAACAAACTCAGGCAGTTGCTCTTAGCTTTTTGTAAAATAGGAATGAAAATCTTATGCTACAAAAATGATAACAAAAGAATACAGAACAGTTGTTGTAAACAGAGCAGTTGGTCAGCCCTGTAGATATGTGTTCTCCTAACCCTGATGTGCTGGATTTTCCCTTTTCTTTTCCTGTATCTTTTCATAATATTTCTAAGTAATACTTTCTAAGTAATAATAATATGCCTCTGTCTCAAACAAGCTTGGCGGGATGAGGGACAGGGCCTTCTCGGTGGTGCCCCCCCTGTGGAACTCACTCCCCGGGGAAATTAGGTCATCTTCATCCCTCCTCACATTTAGAAAAAAGTTAAAAACATGGATGTGGGACCAGGCCTTTGGGTAATTAAGCAGACAGTGACAATAACAATGTTGACAATGGCTTGGAAATGGATTATGGATAAGTTTGATGGAGCATCCAACCACAGTTTTCAGGTAATAATGGCCACCAGAGTGGTAATTCTTAGTAGATTTTAATTGTATTGTTTTAATGTTTTTAACTATTTATAATTTTTGACTGTTTATTTTTATTATGTATGTATTGAGGCATCAAATTGCTGCCGATTGGATGCCGCCCTGAGTCCTCCCCAGGGGGCTGAGAAGGGCGGGGTACAAATATTCGAAATAATAAATAAATAAATACTATGGTCTCAGTTATTATATGTGAATTTGAAGCTTAAGATGAGAGCTTCAAAATGTGTACATTAAAGATAGTTTACACACTCTTTTTAACTTTAGCACTTGCAAATTAACTTGTTAGCGACACGCTCAGCCCTAAATGGTTTGGGACCCGCCTACCTTCGTGACCGTATCTCTCTCCATGTACCAACCCGGACCCTTCGTTCTTCAGGGGAGGGCCTCCTTTCACCCCTACCAATCTCACAAGCTTGTCTTATGGGCACAAGGGAGAGAGCCTTCTCCTCTGTGGAGAGAGCAGGAAAGCCCCCTCCTTAGAAACGTTAAAAAAGAACCTTAAAACCTGGCTCTTCCGCTGCACCTTTGGCGAGTAGGTGTATAACATACTATTGCTCCCCTCAACGCTTCCGCCACTGGAGTACACGTCCTCCAAATGGGAAGTTTAATTTCACAACTCTGTTTTTATGAGCTCCCTGCAAATAACCTGCTCCTATTTTTATCTCATTAGAATCTTTTAATTGTTTTATTCTGTACATGTGGCCCAACTGTTATAGTGACTGCGCTTATTGGAATATGTTTTTTTTCTATGTAATTTTGATGATGTTGTTTGTTGCTTATGTTTTTATTCTGCTGTAATATGTTGTCTGGGCTTGGCCCCATGTAAGCCGCTCCGAGTTCCCACTGGGGAGATGGTGGCGGGGTATAAATAAAGTTATTATTGTCTAAGGCTTTCATGGCCGGAATCACGAAGTCGTTGTAGGTTTTTCCGGGCTATATGGCCATGTTCTAAAGGCATTTTCTCCTAACGTTTCACCTGCATCTAAGGCAAGCATCCACTGGCTGCCGTTTATCTTCCGAGCCCAATTTAAGGTGCAGGTGCTTACCTACAAAGCCCTGAACGGTTTGGGACCACCCTACCTGCGTGACCGCATCTCCGTCTACGAACCCACACGTTCTCTCTGTTCATCTGGAGAGGCCCTCCTCGTGATCCCGCCTACGTCGCAAGCGCGTTTGGTGGGGACACGAGACAGGGCCTTTTCCACGGTGGCCCCCCGACTCTGGAACACCCTCCCCAAAGATCTTAGACAGGCCCCTACATTGGCAGTCTTCAGAAAGAACTTGAAGACCTGGCTGTTCCGATGTGCCTTCCCAGATTAGGAAATCTCCAATACCAAGTCCCAGTTTATTAGAATTACGATTGCCGCACTCTGCACACTGCACTTACCCTATAATCCTTACATATCACCTGTCACATCAGCACTTTTAATTCTGTACCCTTTACTCTGGCCTGGCCCAGTTTTATTGTGTTTTGGTGTATTGTTATTTTGCTGTTTAATATTGCTTTAATTGTTTTGAATTTGCTTTAGGTTTGTATTGTTATGTTGTGTTTGAGGCCTTGGCCTTGTAAGCCGCATCGAGTCCTTCGGGAGATGCTAGTGGGGTACAAATAAAGTTAATAATAATAATAATAATAAGGATGCTTGCCATAGATGCAGGCGAAACGTCAGGAGAAAATGCCTCTAGAACATGGCCATATAGCCTGGAAAAACCTATAACAACCCAAAGTTGTTGTTGTTGTTGTTGTTGTTGTTAAGTTCTTACATGCAACACAGATTCCTTAAAGGCCCAATAATGCTCATTTATTATAGTCGTCTGAAGCCCTAAAGGGGAAAAATATTTTCTAGCCAAAGAGAATCTAAGCAATAGCCCACCTGTGCAATGCCTCCTTAAAGATGTCCCCACCAACGGTGTCAATAACCACGTCTACTCCTTTATTCACTGTTAGCTTCTTCACTTCTTCTCTCAGGTTGGTCCCGCTATAATTCACACTACGAAAAGCCCCTTTCTGGAGAGCCAAGTTGCATTTTCCATCACTTCCTGCTGCTGCGATCACCTGCAACCACACAGAGAATAATATCCACGCTGTGCTCTCTTCCATGTAGACAAATGGGAGAGAGAAGCAGGCAATATTCTATTACTCTTTCTCCTGTTGAATTATTTTTTTCTCCAAAGGCTTGCAGCAACCCCTAGAGCCCTATGAAATGAAGGAAACTGCAGGAGGAACTGGTGAAAACAGCCTTCTTCCTTCTGCCAATGTGTCCCCTTTATGTCCCCAATGTGTCCCCTTTATGAACAGAGAGAAAATTCCCATTAACAAAAGGGCAAGCATACGTCAATAAAAGGGCAGCTCTGGGAAATGAAATGCTGTTTGGTTCTTCTTTGCCTATTGATTGCCGATTGATCCTTTACTTGATACTGCTATCAGGGTCATTTTCTTTAACCAGAAGGATTGTATTTTCTTACAAGATCTCTGCTATTCCTAATGAGCCCCTGTGGTTCATCCCTGTTTGATACTTGTGGAACAGGACACACCTTTGCCTTAAGAATATGAGTAGCCACATCCACGACTGCAAGTCCCGTGGCACCAGCTGCTGCAGTCACCAAAACAGTCTCCCTGCAGAAATAAGAATAAGCATCATGAAATTTGAGAACAGAAAGAGCCTAGCTGCGTGACCGTATTTCTGATTACAAGCCTACACGTTCTCTTCGATCTTCTGGAGAGGCCCTTCTCTCGCTCCCACCCCCATCGCAAGTGTGACTTGTGGGGATGAAGGAGAGGGCCTTCTCTGTGGTGGCCCCCCGGCTCTGGAACTAAATTAGGCAAGCCCCCACCCTGGCAATCTTTAGGAAGAGCTTGAAAACCTGGCTGTTCCAGTGTGCCTTCAATGAATAAATGAATTTCCTGATCTGACCAAGTCCTGCAAATGCCCTCGCAAGCACTTTATCTCCCCTAGTAGTGCAATGTAATCTCACTTATCCCCCGGATGCCCTGTCTAGACACACTAAACTGCTGTCTCATCTAGTGTTTTTAAATTTTTAATCCTTCGGAATTGGCCCCGCTCACTGAGATTTATCCCTTCATCTTAAATGCTGCGATTTTATATTGTTGATGTATTATTTATAATGTACTGTTTTGTATTTTATTTTTATTTTTTACTAGCAGTCCCCTACCACAAGTTGCTGTGGCCCAGTCTGTGTATATTTGTGCATATATGTGTGTTTGTGTGTGTGTATATATATATGTGTGTGTGTGTGTATTTGTGTGTTTATATGTGTATATCAATATTGTGTATATGTGTGCTTGTCTACATGCATATTTGTGTGTATATATATGTATATGTATGTATGTGTGCATGTGTATATGTATAAGTGTATATATGTATATTTGTGTATGCATGTGTATATATGAGTGTATGCATATCTGTATATTTGTGTGGGGTTGTGCATATATATACACACGAATGTGTGCATGTGTATATGTATATGAGTGTATATGCATATGCATATGTATATGTATATGGTGTATTTTTGGGGTTTTTAAGTCTCCTCCGCTGGGGTTTTGTGTATGTGTGTTTTAGGGGTGATGGACACTCATTGGACTGTTAGGTGTATTGTGTCCAAATTTTGTGTCAATTCGTCCAGTGGTTTTTGAGTTATCTTAATCCCACAAACGAAAATTACATTTTTATTTATATAGATTTTATATTATTGCTGTGTTCTATTGTATATTGATGTATTGTGTTGTGGGATTGGCCTTCTGAAAGCCGCCCCGAGTCCCCTTGGAGAGATGGTGGTGGGATATAAATAAAGTATTATTATTATTATTATTATTATTATTATTATTATTATTCTGATACTGAAGTGTATGCAAGGGTCCTTCCACATAGTCATATAATCCAGAATATAAAGGAAGAATATCCCACTATATCTGCTTTGAACTGAGTTATCTTAAGTCCACACTGCCATATATTCCAGTTCAAATCAGCTGTGTGGAAGGGGCTCAAGATGTACTCCATACTACATTATTGCTTAACTTACAAGTCTATGTATTTTTCATTTAAACCTGTATTTCCTGCATTGTTTTCGTTTCACCTGAATTTATTAGTGGTTTCCTCAAACATGAGCTCTTTTGACAAGTCAAGCAATATCTTTTCTAAGCGACTCTGGGTACAGCTTGCTGTTGAAAAGCAGCATACAAATTAACTTGTTAGCAACACGCTGAGCAAGTGAGAGGCAACTAGGTAGAAGCCAAGCATGGAGATGAAGACATCTCAAGACACAAGCAGCTGAGAGAACGGGAAGAAAGAAGAGAGGTACTAGTTCTCTTTTTCCATCTATTTTTTTTTCTCTTCTGATATTCTGTCTCCAAAGCAGGTCTCTGTACTACGGATGTAGGGCCTTCCCTTTCTTCCCCATCCCAACACACTGGCAGACAGGGGAGGACAGGGAAGCATGTGCTGAGATCATGATACGAAGTTAAGGTGTGATAGACGCAGAGATACCCTATTGACTTGAATCTAATGCTCGCCTTTTTTTGCTAAATGTCCTTACCAAACTTGAGGTGCACATCAGATGTATTTATTTATTTATTTAAAACATTTATATTCCGCCCTTCTCACCCCAAAGAGGACTCAGGGCAGAGCACAGCATATAGACGGCAAACATTCAATGCCGGGACAAGAATTCATTATATGCAAACATTATTTGTTTATTTATTTGCCATACATATATACCACCTCTCTCATCCCGAAGGTGACTCAAGGTGGTTTACAATCAATGTCACCAACAACATAATATATAATTAAAAACATTAACATATGATATAGACCACATAAAAACAGTAGAAGCAATAAAACCATAAAACATAAGTCATCAGCGTCTCATTACTGAAATCATTTTCCCATCGCATCGTCTAATCATTCTGTAGATCTAGATTAGTCCGTTACACTGCATTTGCAAATGCTTGCTCAAAGAGCCAGGTTTTAACTCTTTTTCAAAATGATAGGAGGGAAGGTGCTGATCTAATATATCTAGAGAGGGCATTCCATAGCCAAGGGGCCATCACTGAGAAGGCCCTGTCTCTCGTTCCTCCCAATCGCATCTGCAAAGGAGGCGGGACTGAGTGCAGGGCCTCCCCAGACAACCTTACAAGCACTTTTCTGCTGCGCCTTTGGCGAGTAGGTGCACAGCATGATATTTTACACTCCTCAACGTTTTCGGCTAATGGAGTTCATGCCCTCCAAATAGGATGTTCTGTCCCACAACTCTGTGTGTTTTATGAGTTCCATTTAAACATCCTGCTCCTATCATAGTCTGTTAATTGTTTTTTATTCGGAATATGTGGCCCGCCCATTGTCATCTCTATTGTGATTCTGTCTATTGGAATTTTTATTTTATTTTATTATTATTTTATTTTTATTATTTTATTATTATTTTAATGTCATTTTGATAATGTTGTTGTTGTCTGTTGTATATGCTTTGATTTTATTGCTGTATTATGTTGTCCGGGCTTGGCTCCATGTAAGCCGCTCCAAGTCCCCATCAGGGAGATGGTGATTATTATTATTATTATTATTATTAAGCTCCTAGCTGGTTCATAGGGAGAGATACGTTTGGACAGGTAAGCTGCGCCAGAACCATTTAGGGTTTTAAAGGCTAAAGCCAGCACTTTGAATTGTGCCCAGTAGCAGGCCCGTAGCCAGGATTTCATTTCGGAGGGGGGGGCTGAATTTTTTCCGGGGGGGGGTTGGGGGGGCTGAGTTTCGGGGGGGGCTGAGTCTGAATGAAAGAGGGTCTAGCCTAGCAAACCTTTTGTATCATTACCCAATACCCCCATGCATATGGAATATATTGATTATGGTGATCAGATCATGATATGAATAAACATAACAGTTCAAATAATGCACCAGTAAGGCCTTTTCGCGAACCACCATGAGAATTTCAGGGGGGGCCGAAGCCCCTCAAGCCCCCCCCCCCCCCCCCCCCCCCCCCCCCCCCGGCTACATGCCTGCCCAGTAGCAAATTGGCAGCCAGCTCCTGTTAGTAGTAACCTGGCTGCTGCCCACTGGACCATTTGAAGTTTCCAAACAGTCTTCAAAGGCAGCCCCATGTAGAGCGCGTTGCAGTAGTCTATACAGGATGTAACCAGAGCGTGGACTACCATGGTCAAAATAAATATCAAAAACATTTATCTCAATATTAAAATACACTGTGTATGACATGGTGATCTTAGTGCTGAGCAAAAGCCAAAGGGGAAGTTGCTTCCGAAGCTCCTCTTTGAGGGACCTCATCTCTAATTTAATTTCAATGGCTCAATGCTATGCAATCCTGGGATTTGTATTTTGGTGAGGCATCAGCATTCTTTGGTAGAGAAGGCTCAAGGCCTTGTCAAACTACAGCCCCTATGAATCCATACCATTGAACCAAGGCAATTAGAGTAATTCTACAGCATAAATACATCCCAAGATTTTCTTTTCTATTGCTGGAAGCTTTGGTGTTCTAATACTTTAGTTTTTGAAAAAGACATTCTAAGAATGCAGCAAATATAGTGGCCAAAGTACAAAGAGTGCACTTTTGACTGCTGCGCATTATATATTATATTATAGGTGGCGAGACTATACAGAAGATCTGTATAGGAAGGATAATAATATTGAGGATAGTTTTGACGGTGTGGTGAATGAATTAGAACCAGACATCCTGAGGAGTGAGGTTGAATGGGCCTTAAGAAGCATTGCTAACAACAAGGCAGCAGGAGATGACGGGATCCCAGATGAACTGTTTAAAATCTTAAAAGATGATGCTGTCAAGGTGATGCATGCCATTTGCCAGCAAATATGGAAAACACAAGAATGGCCATCAGACTGGAAAAAATCAACTTATATCCCCATACCAAAAAAGGGAAATGCGAAAGACTGCTCAAACTTCCGTACAGTGGCCCTTATTTCTCATGCCAGTAATAATGCTCAAGATCCTGCAAGGAAGACTCCAGCAATACATGGAGCGAGAGTTGCCAGATGTTCAAGCTGGGTTTAGAAAAGGCAGAGGAACGAGAGACCAGATTGCCAATATCCGCTGGATAATGGAGAAAGGCAGGAAGTTTCAGAAAAACATCTATTTCTGCTTCATTGACTATTCTAAAGCCTTTGACTGTGTGGATCATAATAAATTGTGGCAAGTTCTTGGTGGGATGGGCATCCCAAGCCACCTTGTCTCTCTCCTGAGGAATCTGTACAAGGCCCAAGTAGCAACAGTCAGAACTGACCATGGAACAACAGACGGGTTCAAGATTGGGAAAGGCGTACGGCAAGGCTGCATACTCTCACCCAACCTTTTTAACTTGTATGCAGAACACATCATGCGATGTGCGGGGCTGGATGAATGCAAAGCTGGGGTGAAAATTGCTGGAAGAAACATTAACAACCTCAGATATGCAGATGACACCACTCTGATGGCCGAAAGCGAGGAGGAGCTGAGGAGCCTTCTAATCAAGGTGAAAGAAGAAAGCGCAAAAGCCGGGTTGCAGCTAAACGTCAAAAAAACCAAGATTATGGCAACAAGAATGATTGACAACTGGAAAATAGAGGGAGAAACCGTGGAGGCAGTGACAGACTTTGTATTTCTAGGTGCAAAGATTACTGCAGATGCAGACTGTAGCCAGGAAATCAGAAGACGCTTACTTCTTGGGAGGAGAGCAATGTCCAATCTCGATAAAATAGTAAAGAGTAGAGACATCAGACTGGCAACAAAGATCCGCCTAGTCAAAGCCATGGTATTCCCTGTAGTAACCTACGGATGTGAGAGCTGGACCTGAGGGAAGGCTGAGCGAAGGAAGATCTCTTAGGATTATTGTGGAGGAAAGTTCTGAGAGTGCCTTGGACTGCGAGAAGATCCAACCAGTCCATCCTCCAGGAAATAAAGCCCGACTGCTCACTGGAGGGAAAGATACTAGAGACAAAGTTGAAGTACTTTGGCCACATCATGAGGAGACAGGAAAGCCTAGAGAAGACAATTATGCTGGGGAAAGTGGAAGGCAAAAGGAGGAGGGGCCGACCAAGGGCAAGATGGATGGATGGCATCCTTGAAGTGACTGGACTGACCTTGAGGGAGCTGGGGGTGGTAACGGCCGACAGGGAGCTCTGGCGTGGGCTGGTCCATGAGGTCACGAAGAGTCGGAGACGACTGAACGAATGAACAACAAATTTTTTTTTGGTTTCAGGATTTTGAAAATTGAGGTGTGCATTAGATTCGGTGGCACATTAAACTCGAGTAAATACGGGTATTTATTCAGCTCTTAAATCTTCATTTAGTCAGCTGTATGTCTCAATGTATTTTCCAATCCTATTCTAACTAGGGGAAAATGCATCCTGAAAAGCATGATTGCATTTACAAGCATAACAATGTTAACATGATAGTGCTAACAAGAAATCCATCTCGAGCATGATTGTTAAACAATCCATCTTGAAATCTCCTGCTCAGTCCTGAACGCTCTCTAAGGACCCTTCTACACTGCCATATTATCAAAGCAGATAATCCACATTATCTGCTTTGAACTGAGTCTACACTGTCATATAGTGTAGGCCCCTTCGGGAAGGGGCCCGGCCCCTTCCGGAAGAGGATCACCCAGCAGTGAGGCAAGGAAGCCGAGGCTCCCCCCGGACTGCTAGGGCTGTTGTGAGCCGAGGGGGCGCTCCTCAAGTGGTGGTCGAGGGGCATTTACAGAGGTGTCTCTGCGCCCCTGGCAAAAAAAAATGTATCACGACCGATTACTTTGCATAATGGACGAGACGCCCCTGCCGACAGAACATCTGGCTTTCTTTCTCTACTGAAGGAGGCAGGGAAGATTCCGAAATGGAGATCTCAACCCCTGGAAAAAGGGCAGTCTCTACACCCAAAGAGATACTTTCTAAACCAATAGCTGCAAAAGAGGCCTGCAGGCTGGCTTTCTAGCCTCTAATGCTGCTAACTTTCAGAGTGCAGCTAAGATTGTAGCAGCCTTGGGGAAATGCAAAAGAATGCTATCCCATGCAACTAAAAGGTAATGCAAACTATGCTCCTGGAAGATGGAACAGTCACGCTTTTCTATAAAATTATGAATGCCATTTTCTAAAAGTAACCCTTCATAGACTAATTTGACTTCCTCAGATGCATGAAGTGAAGTGATCAAGAAACTGACTCACCCTGGCTGTGTCTGTGCTCTGTGTTCAAGGGCTAAGATGGCTGTCCCATAAGAAACGGGCAGTGCTGCAGCATCTTCATAGGAAACTTGCTTTGGGATGGTCCAGAGCAACTTCACAAAAGAAACCAAAATGATATAGTCATTCCAAGAAAAATAGATATTTATAAAATCTTTGTCGTGCCTTTGTTTAAAATTTAAAAAATGAAAAAGTGCATTTTACTCTGAGGAGGGACTATTTTTGAATTTAGTTAAAAACTGGGAAGTCATAATATCAGATTTGCAACCATTTTGAGCAGCAAGGAGCTCTAAGGAACCATAGCCTTGTTTACTCTTCATAAGTTCACAGGATAAAGATATGGCAGAGTTCACAAGCAAACATTACTGCGTGACAAAAGTTTGTAACCAAAGACATTTTTATGCAGACAAATCTAACAACTGAAACAAATTACAATATGTCACAAAATTAGAAAAAAATAATCTGTTCCTGGTTTGAAAGTGTTATTTCCTGTTTAATTGCCTGGTACTTACTTTGAAAGTAGTTATACTCCAGAAACTTGACCTTTGTGACTACCACAGAATATCAATAATAATAATAATAATAATAATAATAATAATAATAATACTTTATTTATACCCCGCCACCATCTCCCCGAGGGGACTCGGAGCGGCTTACATGAGGCCCAGCCCGACAACACATCAATAAAACAAAAAGCAATAAACAAAAAAAAAACAATTCATATAAATCACATATAAACAATAACACGCAAGGATTTAAAAACCTATGGCTGGGCCAAATGTAATAGTTTAAAATTTAAAAAATAAACGCTGGCCATGAACAAAGGTAGGATGTATCTGGTAAGAGGGTTTTATAAGAAATAAAGGGAGAGCAACCCAACGAGTAGTTAAAGTGCTTCTGAGGACATTTTGCTGGAAATTATTTCCTTATTCAGGGAAGGCACACTGGAACAGCCACGTTTTCAGGCTCCTCCTAAAGACTGCCAATGTGGGGGCTTGCCTGATATCCTTAGGAAGTGAGTTCCAGAGTCGAGGGGCCACCACAGAGAAGGCCCTCTCCCTTGTTCCTACCAATTGCACCTGCAAAGGGGGTGGGAGCAAGAGGAGAGCCTCTCCAGATGATTGAAGAGATTGCATGGGTTCGTACACAGAAATGCAGTTACGCATTTATCAAGGAAGATAATCCACAATATCTGCTTTGAACTAGGTTATCTGAGTCCACACTGCCACATAATCCAGTTCAATGTGGATGTTATACAGTTGTATGAAAGGAGCCTGAGTCTACACTGCCATATAAGCCAGTTCAAAGCAGATAATGTGGATTTTATATGACAGTGTATTATTTATTTAAAACATTTATATTCCGCCCTTCTCACTCCGCAGGGGACTCAGGGCGGAGCACATCATACAAACATTCAATGCTGGGACATAGAACCATAAATACTATATATTCTGGCGTATAAGTACTTTTTAACACAAGAAAATCTTCTCAAAAGTCAGGGGTTGTCTTATACGCAGGAGTAGTCTTATGCACGGGAGTAGTCTTATACACGGGATTCGTCTTATACACAGGAGTAGTCTTATACAACGGGAGTTGTGTTATAGAGCGGGTGCTGAAACTTCCAATCCGGACTGAAGAATCTGTGGTTGCTGCATATTGTGGAGGGAGCTCAAAATGGCAGTGGCCATGTTCCTGCCGTATGCAGCGACTGTATGAAAGCATTAAGGATGACACTGTACAAGTACGGTAGAAGAAAATCCATTCATCAGGATTCGTGGACTTAATGCGGTCCCGATGGTAAGGTGAAGGGACACCTCACCGGGAAGGTGTAAGTGAGGGGCGGAGCAAGCTGCAGGCGTCCAGGGCGCCCGGAGTATGAAAAAAAGAGATAGAGTGGCTCTGGGCCCAGTAAAACACACCTCTTTTACCTGTCTGACCCTCCCTTGTATCCTATTACTGTACCTCCTCCTCTGCCTCTCAGATCTCGCTCCTGAAGACTGCAGTGAAGTAGTGCAGGTGCGCATGTGCGAGATCTGAGAGGCAGAGAAGGAGGTACAGTAATAGGAAAATTTCCATATTGAAATCAAATCTGATGCTTTTAAAAATTTTATTTGGTGTGCGTTGGAAGAGGGGTAGTCTTATACGGCGAATATATCCCAAACTCTATATTTTAGCTGGAAAAGTTGGGGGTCGTCTTATACGCCCAGTCGTCTTATATGCCGGAATATACGGGTATATACAAACATTAAACTTATATTCACATTAAAGACACCATTTTGCCTCATTGCACTGCCCCAAAGACTTGGTCCCACAGCCAGGTCTTCACCATCTTTCTGAAGGATAGGAGGCAGAGCTGATGTAATATTGCCAGGAAGGGAGTTCCATAACTGAGGGGCAATCACTGAGAAGGCCCTGTCTCTTGTCCCTGCTAAACATGCCTGTGATGGTGGTGGGACCAAGAGCAGGGCCTCCCCAGAAGATTTTAGTTTCCGCAGTGGTTCGTAAAGGGACATGCGTTCAGACAGGTAAACTGGGCCATTTAGTGTAGAAGGGGCCTTAGCCTGGTATTGTCAATACAGTCATTCCCTAACATAGATCATGAAGAAGAGCACTACAGAGCTGGGCTAACATTATAGAGACCACTTTCCAACATGACACCAACCCCAGTTTAGTTATAGGAATCACAGGCAGGCAAGTAGAGAGATAATGTGTTTATTAAGACACTTGAATCCCGCTATCATTTATGCTTTTGTAGTCAGCACCAATCAATTGAAATGTGGCCAGAAACAGTCAGAGAACACCCTCCAGTTGCTCTTTTGTAGGCTGCTGCTATATGCTCTCTGACAGGTGCATGTTGCACCAGCTGTAGATTCTGGCTTCTTTTCAAGGGCAGCCCTGTGCAAATCACAATAATCCAAACAAGAGAGAAGCAAAGGGTAAACGAAAGTCTAAACAAAGCATCAAAGAAGGCAAATAATGTTAGCCTGCATTAATCAAATAATAGTTTCCAAGACAAGGGAAGGAAAAGTCTCACGATATTCTGCACTGCATCTGGAATACTGTCCAGTTCTGTGCACCTCATTGAAACTAGAGAAAGTTTGGGAAAGTGAAAGAAGAATAACATGATGTAGGGCAGGGGTCCTGAAACTAAGGCCTGGGGGCCGGATACAGCCCTCCAAGGTCATTTACTCGACCCTCACTCAGGGTCACAGAATCATAGAATCATAGAATCATAGAATCAAAGAGTTGAAAGAGACTTCATGGGCCATCCAGTCCAACCCCCTGCCAAGAAGCAGGAATATTGCATTCAAATCACCTCGACAGATGGCCATCCAGCCTCTGTTTAAAAGCTTCCAAAGAAGGAGCCTCCACCACACTCCGGGGCAGAGTTCCACTGCTGAACGGCTCTCACAGTCAGGAAGTTCTTCCTCATGTTCAGATGGAATCTCCTTTCTTGTAGTTTGAAGCCATTGTTTCCAGGGAAGCAGAAAACAAGCTTGCTCCCTCTTCCCTGTGGTTTCCTCTCACATATTTATACATGGCTATCATATCTCCTCTCAGCCTTCTCTTCTTCAGGCTAAACATGCCCAGCTCCTTAAGCTGCTCCTCATAGGGCTTGTTCTCCAGACCCTTGATCATTTTAGTCGCCCTCCTCTGGACACATTCCAGCTTGTCAATATCTCTCTTGAATTGTGGTGCCCAGAATTGGACACAATATTCCAGGTGTGGTCTAACCAAGCAGAATAGAGGGGTAGCATTACTTCCCTAGATCTAGACACTATGCTCCTATTGATGCAGGCCAAAATCCCATTGGCTTTTTTTGCCGCCACATCACATTGTTGGCTCATGTTTAACTTGTTGTCCACGAGGACTCCAAGATCTTTTTCACACGTACTGCTCTCGAGCCAGGCATTGTCCCCATTCTGTATCTTTGCATTTCGTTTTTCCTGCCAAAGTAGAGTATCTTGCATTTGTCACTGTTGAACTTCATTTTGTTAGTTTTGGCCCATCTCTCTAATCTGTCAAGATCGTTTTGAATCCTGCTCCTGTCCTCTGGAGTATTGGCTGTCCCTCCCAATTTGGTGTCGTCTGCAAACTTGATGATCATGCCTTCTAGCCCTTCATCTAAGTCAACCAAAGTCTGAAACAACTTAAAAGCACACAACAACAACAACAACAACAACAATCATATATCACCAGCCAAAAGCAGACCCACTCTTCCCATTTAAATACTAATAAGTTTATATTTATTAAAATTGTTCATTTTAATTATTGTATTGTTTTTAAGTGTTTTTTGCAATACAAATAAGATATGTATGCATAATTCATTCATGCTTTTTTCAAATTATAATCCGGCCCTCCAACAGTTTGAGGGACTGTGATCTGCCCCTCTGTTTAAAAAGTTTGAGGACCCCTGATATAGGGAGAACAAAACACAGGAGGAAAGGCTGAGCAATGTGAGCATGTCCAATTTAGTGAAGCTTGTGGGATGACATAACTGCATCCTTTAAATACTTTGAGGGCTGTCAGAGAGAGGACAATGCAGGCCTGTTCTGTGCTGCTCCAGAGGGCAGACCAGATCAAAACAATTCGGGACCTGCTTATTTTTGCGATCACATCTTCCTCTATGAACCAGTACGTACCTTGAGATCATCTGGGGAGGCACTGCTGTCTCTCCCTCTACCGTCTCAAGCACGGTTGGTGGGGTCGAAGGACAGGGCCTCCTTGGTGGTGGCCCCCCAGCTCTGGAACTCCCTCCCAAGGGAGGTCAGGCAGGCTCCCACTTTGTCCTCTTTCTGGAAACAACTAAAAGCCCAGATGTTCCAGTGTGCTTTTGATTAAGCAGTCCACCATTAATTTTCCTGTCCCTACTTTAAGTTCAGCACTTTATGTCGGCCCTCTTATTGTCTACCTCAACACTTTTAATGACAGTGTTTCCAGCCCTGCCTACTTGATTGTTGCACTTTCCTTGCGCTCCCTTCGGAATGTATTGCACTCAGTGAGCCTGTACCTCAGCTATGTTCCTTTTTTCAGCCATATTGTTTTGATGTTGTTTACAATTGTGATTGTTTTTATATCTTATCTGATGTTTTATTTATAATTTTCGGGCTTGTCCCTTGTAAGCTGCCCCGAGTCCCCTGGGGGAGATGGTTAGCAGGGTATAAAAATAAAGTTATTATTTATTATTATATAATGGCTTTAAGTTACAAGAGGGTACGTTTGATTAAACTTCTTATTTATTTATTTATTTATTTATAATTCAAACTTATATGCCGCCACTCCCCTGGGGCTCGGAGCGGCTTACAAGAACAGGCTAAAATCTAACACAATTTAAAAACAATTTAAAACAATTTAAAAACAAATATCAGAGATCAAAGGCCTGTCGAAACAGATATGTCTTACATGCCCTGCGGAAAGCTGATAGTCCCGCAAGGCACAGACTTCAGGTGGCAGAGTATTCCAGAGTGATGGTGCCACTGCTGTAAAGGCTCTGCGTCTGGTTGCTGTTAGACGCAAGGTCTTGACACTGGGAATTTCCAATAGATCTTGGTCCTCAGAACGGAGGGATCTCTGGGGTTGGTAGGGGGTGAGGCGGTCCCTCAGGTACATCGGCCCCAGACCATGCAAGGCCTTAAAGGTAAGTACCATCACTTTGAAAGTGATCCGGTGCTCAATTGGTAACCAATGCAGCTGTAGTAAGATTGGTGTTATGTGGCATCTCATCGGAATTCCCGCAAAAAGCTGAGCAGCTGCGTTTTGTACCAACTTGAGCTTCCGGATCACCGACAGAGGAAGGCCAATGTAGAGGGCGTTAAAGTAGTCCAGTCTTGTGATGACCGTGGCCTGGATCACCGTAGCTAGGTTGTCCCTGGACAGGTAGGGGGCCAGCCGTCTAGCCTGCCGCAGATGAAAAAAGGCACAAAGAGCTATTTGACAATGGAATCAACTACTTACAGAGGTGACTAGGTCGCTCTTTCTTGACATCTTTGGAAAGAGTTACTTGTTAAGGATGCTCTAGCTAGATTTCTTTTATCCCATATTTGGATTCAGTGACTTATGGGGTCCCTCTAACTCAGTACTTCTCAACCTATGGTCCCAGATGTTTGGCCTTCAACTCCCAGAAATCCAAATCGGGTAAATAATAATAATAACAACAATAACAATAATAATTATATATTATAATTATATATTAATATTACATGTAATATTACTAATAATATTACAATATAATGGTATAGTACAATATAGTAATATTTAATACTGATATTGCACTATGCTAATAATATAATATATTGTGTGTAAATATATCTTGTAAGCCGCTCTGAGTCCCCTTCAGGGTGAGAAGAGCGGCATATAAATATCGTAAAAAAATAAATAAACCACTACTCTAACTGGTCTATAACAACAAATATGCGTGGGATTCTATCATTAATCGATTGCCTATGGTTTGCCCAATTTAACTGTTAAATCTGCATTAAACATCATATAAATAGGTTCTTGGGGGGGGGGGGAATCTCATTTTAAGTGATACATCTTGATTAGCATTTGATTTCATTTACACATTGCAATTACAGTACTATGATTCCACTTGTACCTCTAAAACCGCATCCTAAGGAATCCTGGGATTAACACTTAGAATTCTTAGGGAGCTTTTCTGGGATCTCTGAGCAAATAACAAATCCTGGAGTCCATGGCATGTAAAGAGGAATCAAAGTGCTATAACTGTGTAGAGTGAGCGTGTCTCAGTAAAGGACCCCCTCTACTAAGTGTGTTTTATATTTTATTTCTGTTTCATTGACTATTCTGAAGCCTTTGACTGTCTGGATCATAATAAATTTTGGAAGTTCTTGGTGGTATGGGCATTCCAAGCCACCTTGTCTCTATCCTAAGGAATCTGTATAAGGACCAAGTAGCAACAGTCAGAACTGACCATGGAACAACAAACTGGTTCAAGATTGAGAAAGGCATACGGCAGGGTTGTATACTCTCACCCAACCTATTCAACTTGTATGCAGAACACATCATGCGATGTGTAGGGCTTGAGGAATGCAAGGCTAGGGTTAAAATTGCTGGAAGAAACATTAACAACCTTAGATATACAGATGACACTACTTTGATGGCCGAAAGCGAGGAGGAGCTGAGGAACCTTCTAATCAAGGTGAAAGAAGAAAGCGCAAAAGCTGGGTTGCAGCTAAACGTCAAAAAACCAAGGTTCTGGCAACCAGACTGGTTGATAACTGGCAAATAGAGGGAGAAAATGTGGAGGCAGTGACAGGCTTTGTATTTCTAGGTGCAAAGATTACTGCAGACGCAGACTGCAACCAGGAAATCAGAAGGCGTTTACTTCTTGGGGGAGAGCAATAATCAATCTTGATAAAATAGTGAAGAGTAGAAACATCACACTGGCAACTAAGACCCGCATAGTCAAAGCAATGGTATTTCCCGTAGTAACCTACGGATGTGAGAGCTGGACCATAGGGAAGGCTGAGAGAAAGAAGATAGATGCTTTTGAATTGTGGTGCTGAAGGAAAGTTCTGAGAGTGCCTTGGATTGTGAGAAGATCCAACCAGTACATACTTCAGGAAATAAAGTCCAACTGCTCACTGGAGGGAAGGATAGTAGAGGCAAAGATGAAGTACTTTGACCACATTATAAGAAGACAGGAAAGCTTAGAGAAGACAATTATGCTGGGGAAAATGGAAGGAAAAAGGAAGAGGGCAAGATGGATGGATGTTATCCTTGAAGTGACTGGCTTGATCTTGAAGGAGCTGGGGGTGGTGATAGCTGATAGGGAGCTCTGGCGTGGGCTAGTCCATGAGGTCACGAAGAGTCGGAAGCAACTGAGCAAATGAACAACAAACTAAATGTGTGTGTGTGTGAGAGAGAGAGAACAAGAGAGAGGAGGAGGAGGAACAAAAAGGAGGTAGGAGTTCTCCTAAGATGGCTAATTGGTTTTTTTACATGGAGTTATTAGTTTATTTCCTTTCAATCTACAAGTCAATTAACAAATCAAGGCCGCCTTTTTACTGTATTAAAAGCATTTGGATTAATAGTCCAGCTACATGTTGCAACTCTAAAGAATACTTTAGGGTTGTTTTCTAACCTACCTTTGGATCTGTGATATACTCCTCAGCCATTGCGTTGGTACCAGTCACACCAATGACACGATCACCCTGTTCAAAAGTCATCATAAGAGAATCATTAAGTGAGATTAAATGCTGCCATCTTCCTCCCATTGTCATGTTCAAATGGAAATGTTTTAAAGCACCACTATGTTTAAATCAACAACTTTTTGAAACATTGGTACTGTTCCATTATCCAGGCGGAAGCCACTAGAGGGGGCCAGAGAGAGAAGGCTAGTCCATTTGGAGGGGGGATAAAGGAGGAAAACTATTTCCCTCGTTTTCACTAGTTATTCCCCCTCCCCCTTTCTTATATCATCAATGAGAGTTATTTCCACGACACGGACATGGGTGGCGGGAATAACATGAAAATAGAGGGAAACGGTTTTACTCCTTCAACCAACCCTTCACCACCATCAAATGGACTATCCTTCTCACTCTAGAGCCCCCTAGTGGCCTCCACCCAGATATGTATTTATTTGTTTATTTACAGTATTTATATTTCACCCTTCTCACCCCGAAGGGCGATTCACAATGCACACATACACGGCAAACATTCAATGTGGGTTTTGACATATAAGACATACAGGCAGATAGAGATTATTCAGCAGTTTTTCCACTTCGGATTCTGGAGGTTGCTCGATTCCATCCACAGGGAGAAGCTGTTGCTTCATCCACTATGACACCGAGCCTTTTGATCTTATTATTTATTTATTTATTTATTTATTTATTTATGTTATTTATATGCCACCTTTCTCACCCTGAAGGGGACTCAGAGTGGCTTACAAGATACATATACATACAATATACTATTAGCATAGTACAATATCAGTATTAAATATTACTATATTGTATTATAGCATTATATTGTAATATTATTAGTAATAATATATATAATTATAATATCATATTATTAGTATTATTATATTGAATTACATTATAATATTATAAATATTATATGTATATACAATATATTATATTATATTATATTATATTATATTATAATATAATATCTTAGCATTCACTCCATGCTCTCTGGCATTTTTATGGTGTCATAAATTAACTTCTCCGCTTTAAGCAGTCCATAATTTCTCTACTAACAGCACAGCTGTGTTTGAACTGCTTAGGTGAACAGTAAGCTGGGCTATTTAACAGTCGGGAGCTCAACCCTGACTTGGCCTTCAAACTTGCCACCTTTTAGTCGGCAATGATTTGTTGCTGCTAGTGATCAACCAGCTGTGCTAATGAAACAGCATCAAATTTTATTGAAAAAGCTTCTATAGCGATTCTGCAAGGCTAAATAGAACAAACAGATAGTGATATTCCACTTACATTTTCACTCAACATAATATGTCCTTTTTTCTTAACCTTTCCAATCCCAAACTTGTGTCCAGCAGTTTTTTCTCCCCTTCCTCCCCCTTCCCCCCCCCCCCCCACTTGCCGAGAACAGTGGCATCTTCAATTCAAGTATTACGTTACTTGATCAATGGCAGAGAGAGTATGGTTCCGTTTTTTATATTTTCTCCATTTTGAGTCCCATTTAAATCAACAATTTTGATTGATGCATCTACGCAGTCCATGTGCCAATTCCCATACACATCAGTATAGAATGAAATGGCAATATTGGGTGTTTTTAAAATTACTTTTGCAGTTTCTGTAATCCCACCAGTTACTGGGCATTATTTAATCTGTATTTTATAGAAATATACTTTAATATGTATATTTTATAGAATTACATTTTAATATGTGTATTTATAGAATTTTTGCAATTTGTTTTGACTGTGCTGTGACTCACCTTGAGCCACAAGGAGAGGTAAGTAAGAAAATTACTATTATTGTTGTTGTTGTTGTTGAATCAATTTTTAAAGCTGAGTTGCAATGCATTACTCTCACCTCCTTCATGGTGGTTACAGCCTTGCCTGTCTCCAACACATCTCCCGAAAACTCCATCCCTGAAACACACAACACAAGAGTCTGCATGAACTTTCATGGATACAAACCAGCGTTTTCAGATGAAGTACAAAGTGATAATAAGTGCTCAAGCACAAAGCATATTTATGCAGTTATAGCAATGGGGCAGAATGCAATAGGATCTCAAAAAAGGCAAATCATGACTTTTGCCCTAAATTTTCAAAGGGCCATGTAATGTGATACAGGTCTTTCAGATCTTTACAGTGATCAGTTAGGCCCCTTCTACACTGCCAAATAATCCATATTATCAAATCAGATAATCTACATTATCAACTTTGAACTGGATTATATGAGTCTACACTACCATATAATCCAGTTCAAAGCAGATAATCTGGAATGTATACAGCTGTGTAGAAGGGGCCCTAGAGCCTTTCTACACAGTCATATAACCTAGAATATCAAGGCAGATAATCCACAATATTTGCTTTGAACTGCATTATCTGAGTCCACACTGCCATATAATCCAGTTCTATGTGGATTTTATACAGCTGTGTGGAAGGGGCTTCAGTGTTGATGTGCAAAAACAAAAAAAACCCTAGATTATCAAAAGTCAGTTCCCTTGGGTTCAAATTTTCTCTGAAAATATTCCTATTGTTATTAGCATGTGTAGCCTAACACAAGGCCATATCATTTCTTTTTCTCACCCTTCCTTGCTCCATTTTATGTTGTACTAGCCATCCCTTACCATGCGTTGCTGTAGCCCAGTCTGTGCATATGTGTTTTGTGTGTATGTATATTTGTGTATATATGTGTGTATATATTTGTGTATATGTGTGTATATATGTGTACATGCATATTGTGTATATATGTGTGCTTGTCTATATGCATATATGTGTGTATGTATGTGTATATGTATATGTGTGTATATATGTATATTTGTGTGTGCATGTGTATATTTGTGTATGTTTGTGCATATATATACAAATGTGTGCATGTGTATATGTATATATGGTGTATTTTTGGGGTTTTTAAGTCTGCTCCGTTGGGGTTTTGTGTGTGCGTGTGTGTGTTTTAGGGGTGATGGACACTCGTTGGACTGTTAGGTGTACTGTGTCCAAATTTCATGTCAATTCGTCCAGTGGTTTTTGAGTTATATTAATTCCACAAACGAGCATTACATTTTTATTTATATAGAAGACTAACTCTTTGGATATTCTTTGAAAACTCTCCCCACAAGAGAAAACAATTATGACGAAATCAATGCTGAAAAGTAGCCAGTAGGTGTCATTGCAGGCACAGAAAAAGAAAGTTTCAAAGGATGGAAAGGGAAAATGAGTACTGCTTGTTAGTTTCCAAATTATATGTTATAACACCTTAATGTGTCGTATACATTGTGTTGGTGTCTTGCACAAACTTAATAAGAAATGACAAAAATCTTGGAACGTTTACCTTACAAATCATATATACTTGAAAAGCTTAAATGAAAGGTTTTCATGAGATATGTTGTGTCCTCATACATTTCATTATTACAGTTTATGTTTGTGTCAGTATATCTTATAACAAGGTTTTGTTAACCTCTGCTTTGCTAGTAAAACTGAACTACTGTGTTACAAAATGATAAGTAAAGTAAAGATTTCCCCTGACATTAAATCTAGTCGTGTCAGACTCTGGGGGTGGTGCTCATCACCATTTCTAAGCCGAAGAGCCAGCGTTGTCACCTCCAAAGTCATGTGGTCAGCATGACTGCATGGAGTGCCGTTACCTTCCAGCAGAAGTGGTATCTATTGATCTACTCACATTTGCATGTTTTTGAACTGCTAGGTTAGCAAAAGCCGAGGCCAACAGTGGGAACTCATCCTGTCCCCAGGGTTCGAACAGCCAACCTTTTGGTCAGCAAGTTCAGCAGCTTAGCATAGAATCATAGAATCAAAGAGTTAAAAGAGACCTCATGGGCCATCCAGTCCAACCCCCTGCCAAGAAGCAGGAATATTGCATTCAAATCACCCCTGACAGATGGCCATCCAGCCTCTGTTTAAAAGCTTCCAAAGAAGGAGCCTCCACCACACTCCGGGGCAGAGAGTTCCATTGCTGAACGGTTCTCACAGTCAGGAAGTTCTTCCTCATGTTCAGATGGAATCTCCTCTCTTGTAGTTTGAAGCCATTGTTCCGCGTCCTAGTCTGCAAGGAAGCAGAAAACAAGCTTGCTCCCTCCTCCCTGTGGCTTCCTCTCACATATTTATACATGGCTATCATATCTCCTCTCAGACTTCTCTTCTTCAGGCTAAACATGCCCAGCTCCTTAAGCCGCTGCTCATAGGGCTTGTTCTCCAGACTCTTGATCATTTTAGTCGCCCTCCTCTGGACACATTCCAGCTTGTCAATATCTCTCTTGAATTGTGGTGCCCAGAATTTAACCCGCTGTGCCACCACAAAATGATGGATGTCTAAAAAGTGATCGCCACCATGAAATGGTTGGAAATCTCTAATCTAGAGGCTGCAAAAACTAGTGGGGTGCAACCTATCTCAAAAGATGAGTTGCCAACTCCTTTGGCAGAAAAACACTGATCTAAAGCTTCTGCAGGGTTGAGGGTCACAAAAACAGGTAGGCAGACAGCAAGCCAAAATGCTGTACATTGTCATAGGCAAAGTGCAAAGGCTCCATCTAACTCCTCAATTTCCATTGTATAGCCCTTGAAGCTCCTCAAGTGCCCCCCATGAAGCTCCTTCACTCCACCAGATTTACCCGTATAATCCGGCATATAAGACGACTGGGTGTATAAGACGACCCCCAACTTTTCCAGTTAAAATATAGAGTTTGGGATATATTCGCCGTATAAGACTACCCCTCTTCCAACACACACCAAATAAAAATTTTAAAATTTGATTTCAATATGGTAATTTTCCTATTACTGTACCTCCTTCTCTGCCTCTCAGATCTCGCACATGTGCACCTGCACCGCTTCACTGCAGTCTTCAGGAGCGAGATCTGAGAGGCAGAGGAGGAAGTACGCTAATAGGATACAAGGGCAGGCCACACAGGTAAAAGAGGTGTGTTTTTCTGGGCCCAGAGCCTCTCTATCTCTTTTTTTCCATACCCCGGGTGCCCTGGACGCCTGCAGCTTTCTCCGCCCCTTCACCTCACCATTGGGGCCGCATTAAGTCCACGGATTCTGATGAATGGATTATCTTCTACCGTACTTGTACAGCGTGGTCCTTAATGCTTTCATACAGTCGCTGCATACGGCAGGGATGTGGCGATTGCAATTTTTGAGCCCCTCCCACCATAAGTGGCAACTGCATATTCTCTAATTCAGAGTGGAAGTTTCCGCACCCGCTCTATAAGATGAGTCCCAGCGTATAAGACTATCCCTGCATGTAAGACGACTCCCATGCATAAGGCTACTCCAGCGTATAAGACGACTCCTGTGTATAAGACTACTCCCGAGTATGAGACGACTCCCACGTATAAGACGACCCCTGACTTTTGAGAAGATTTACTTGGATTAAAAAGTAGTCTTATATGTCAGAATATACAGTAAATTGATCAAAGTCAGTCCTAAAAATGCCGTCCAAAATAATTAGAAAAACATCAGGTCCCTTTTCTCCCCAGTACTCCCTGAACCCTTCAAAAATATGAAGAACAGTGTCTGCTTTCCATCTGACTTCCAATCACACCAACACTATGGTCTATGAGACAGGAAGGGAGGAAGCCATTCTCAAGTACCCCACCCTACTTAAACTTCCCCATTCTTTTTTGTACAATGACCTCTAAAACTGATCTTACTTTCCTTTTTGGAGTCAAGATTGGGAAGTGGAGCAGAGACCAGTTAGTAGAACAGTCTCCTCAGGCAGTAAATTATGAAGTCTTTAATTTATTATTACTACATTTTTACTGCCTGGAATGAGTGAACTGCTGGTAGGATCCCCATCACTAACTAGTTTTAAGTAGTATGTGCTTGGGTAGGTGGCTAAGTGCAATTTGTTGTTTTGTCTAAGGTTCTGTGTGCAGCTGGTAATGTAGGTCGGCCAGCATGTTTGGGCCACACCCGGTGGAGTATAACTGTATGGATTTTAGGATACAGTTTGGAAATGGAGGAGAAGCAATACGCTACTCAAATCAAATCAAAGCATTTATTTCGGTCATTAACCAGAACAGGAAATAGAGTCACATTTTCATACAAACTTGGTATGTTTGGTACATTAAAAATATAAATATAACTACTGAAGCACAATATGGATGAGGGAGCGGAAGGGAAGAGGAAACAGGTTAAAAACATACAATGCCCAGATCCATCACCAAATTGTAGATTCAGAGAAGAAGATTACTGGACACACAGTTAACTTTTGGAACTAGTCATTCCCTGGCGGATTTTGTATACTGCTGCACAGAACTTTGCAACATTGTAGGTTGCAGCTGAATTAGTATCTGCAAGTAACATGGAGGTATAAAATTGTCCTGAATGGTCTGGGTGCTTGTACATCAGAGGTAAGATAAGCCTGGCACAGATATCCCTGTAGAACGAGCACTGAAGGAGAACATGTTCTATTGTTTCTACATGACCTGAGTCACAGGGGCCATAGATGCAGGCGAAATGTCAGGAGAAAATGTTTCTAGAACATGGCCATATAGCCCAAAAAACCTACAACAACCCAGTTGCACAACTGTTCTTAGGGGAAGGGTTGTACAGGCTCGCTGTAACCAAATTGAAAATGTTTTCACTCACCTGGAGTGAATGGAAGGGAATGTTTTTCTTGGTAAAGGCCCTGGCAAGCCAGTATGTCAGCAAAATTTACCCCACAGCAACGGACACGAATTCTGACCTGTAAAAAAGAGAGCAGCACAACTTTCATGCAAACCTGCTTTTGGAAAAGAAGTGCTGTGTGTGTGATATCAAACAAGTCACGTCGACATCAATATTCTGTTTAAAATCAGAGCCACACAAGACCCAACCCAATTCAGGACTGTGGCACAACACACAGGAAAGAAGACTTCCACGCGCTACACTGGCATCTATTACACTATATAACAAAATTGGAGAAAAAGTGTCTGTTCATGGTTTGAAAGTGCTATTTCCTGTATAATTGTATAGTTCTTACTTTGAAAGTAAGAGCCCCCGGTGGCGCAGTGGGTTGAACCCCTGTGTCAGCAGGACTGAAGACCGACAGGTCGCAGGTTCGAATCCGGGGAGAGTGCGGATGAGCTCCCTCTATCAGCTCCAGCTCCTCATGCAGGGACATGAGAGAGGCCTCCCACAAGGATGGTAAAAACATCAAAACAACCGGACGTCCCCTGGGCAACATCCTTGCAGACGGCCAATTCTCCCAAACCACAAGCGACTAGCAGTTTCTCAAGTCGCTCCTGACACAACAAAAAAAAAAAACTTTGAAAATAATTGTTATACTCCAGAAACGTTTTTGTGGCTGCCACAAACTACCATGTATTTAATTGGTGGAGACACAATGAGATATTCATTGAACAACTATAGCAAATGTGTTGCAGGATTTCCCATGAAAACAAAGTTTTGCTGTTTAATAATAATAATAATAATAATAATAATAATAATAATAATAATCTTTATTTATACCCCACCACCATCTCCCCAAAGGGGACTCGGGGCAGCTTACATGAGGCCAAGCTCGATAATACAATTACAGTAAAATACATACAAACAGCAAAATAACATAGCAATAAAATAAATGAAACATAAGAATAAAATAAAACAGTGTAAAATTCAAGGAAAGAAACAAACACAGTGGGCGGGCCAAATGTATGACATAAAATGATAAAACCCTGGGAGAGATAGCAATAAAAGGATATATATGTAAGGGAGGAGCACATAGGGGACAGAACGATAGAGTCAAACCTAAAACAGGTAGGGGTAGTGCAATATGGAGACCACATTGTGGGATAAAAGTCAACAGGAAAGAAATATATAGTTGCGAAGAGGCCACCAATTTGTAATGATGCCACCGATTTGTAAGAGTTTGTAAAGGAGCCACAACTTTGTAAGGACTTACTAAATTGATAACACAACTAATAGCTTGTAATGTTGATTTGGTCTTTCTTCAATGTGTAGCGTGGCTTAACTTGAAAGTATTTGTAACAGAGACTTGGCTTTAGAAGAAACTGTAACAAGTTTATTGAAGTATAGAAGAAGCTTGATGGTTTCAACGTTTCTTAACTCTTAGAGGCACATATCTTCAGAGGTTACATTTATAACAATTCATAACACAACTCTTGAGAGTACTGTTCCGTCCATTAAACAAGTTTTAAACTTATTTTGCTTTAAAATGTGTTTCTTTCTTTAACAGATTAATTCAGGTACAAGCTTATTCTTTCCTTATGTTATTTCTGTTGCAGTAAAGATCCTTATTAGGGTTCTCTCCCCCTTTTGCTCATACACTGACTAATAATATAAATAAGTCAACTTGACCTATCTAAACTACACTGGCTAAAAGCCAAAACCTTCCTGATTCTCAACACAGTAGAATCAGCCTATTCCTGTAGTTCTTAGACTACGAACTACCTTACTAGTTCTCAACACACAACAGAACCAGCCTTCCCTGTAGTTCGCTGACTACAAATTAACTGTTTTAAAATGGCTGCCCTGCCAAGTGGCAGTTGGCTCTGCCCCTTTTCCATGGCAACTCAGCTCAGAGTGAGCTAAGCTGGCTACCACCCCCCCAATTATGCTAGTTATGCTAGTTTAAATACTTACCCTTTTAAACACCTATCTATTATTATGCATAACTGCACATCAAAACTCACACTTCACCACAATGGTCACTCTCCAAAAGCACACTGGAAATGCCAAGTTTTTAGATTCTTCTTAAAGGATGCTTATTAAAGGCTAATAAACCTTTTCCATGTTTTTATGATAGAATCAATTAGGAAATGATGTTTATAACCCAGGAACAAAAACTGCATTACTAAGGCCCCTTCACACAGCTGTACAAAATCTACATTGAAGTGGATTATATGGCAGTGTGGACTCAGATAACCCAGTTCAAAGCAGATATTGTGTATTATCTGCCTTGGCATTCTGGGTTATATGACTGTGTGGAAGGGCCCTTAGTGTTATCTTTCATAGAAAGGTAAGGTGTTTGCTCATTCCTTTTGCTGAATGCATAATTCTGCATCACTCTAGTAATGAGTTATTTTGATGTTCTTTTTGCAACCACTTTAATTAGCTAAACCTACACTCCCATTTTTACATCCTGTCTCCAATACAGCAATTAACCCTGTTGGTAGCAAATAACTTGAATCTTCTGAAAAAGACGGAAGCTATCTAATTCAACATTGCTTCTTTTATGCCAATTTCTTTAACAGCTATCTCTCACAGAGACACATGCAACAATGTCACATATTATTCATTCACCTTATCCAACATGGATTTTTTCAGACACGACTGTGCTATATGGATTTTTCTTTTCATACAATAACATTAAGGCAGCATATTAAGGAGGCCCTTCTTTCAGTCCCACCACTGTTGGTGGGGACAAGAGAAAGGACCTTCTTGGTGATGGCTCCCTAAATAAATTAGATGAGCCTCCTTTCTTCAGGTCTTCCAGGTGAGTCTTAAAACATGGCTCTTCAGACAGGCCTTTGTTTCCTGAGTAATCCATGGCCAATGTGATGAAACATTGATAGTACTGGCCCGTACATTGATTGATTGTTATGACAGATAGCCGGCCCGCTGGTTCCACTGTGTTTTAGGAATTTTATAATTTTACATTTTTAATAATTTTATCAATGAGGTTTTTATGTGCCATTCATTATACTTATGTCATTGTATTTATACTTATGTATTGCTGTCTGCATGTGGCACTTGGAGTGCTTCTGTGAGCCACCCTGAGTCCCTTTGGGGAGAAGGTGGCAGGGTACAAATAAAGATTATTATTATTATTATTATTATTATTATTATTATTATTATTATTATTATTAACAGCTATAAAGCTGGCTCAGCCATTCAAGGCAAAATGACTGATACAGATAACTGAGAGCCCTTCTACACTGCCATATAATCCAGTTCAAAGCAGATAATCTAGATTTTATATGGCAGTGAAGAAGGGGCCTTAGAATCATAGAATCTTGTAATCAATTGAGGATGGAATATAAGAGTATTAAAGGTATTGATGTATTCTAAGAAAATCAATAAATATATATATATATAAAAGAATAATAGAATCTTTAAATTCGAAGAGACCACAAGAGACAGTCAGACAAACTTCTTATAGTGTTAGTAGCTGTACACGCCAGGCATTGCTGTGGCCAACCTTCCCTCCCTCTTTCTCTTCTTCTTTCTTTCCCTCCCTCCTTCCTTTCCTTTTTTCCTTTCATTCTCTCTTTCCTTCCTTCCTTCTCTTCCTCTTCCCTTCCTCCCCCCCCCCAACTTTTCTATTCCTTCCTCTTTCTCCCCTTTCTCCCTTCTCTACCTATTCTTGGACTGCAACTTCCAGCAGTCCACCTGATCTATCTACCTATGTATCTCTATCTAATCTATCTATCTGGAAGATTGCTGGGAGTTGCAATCCAGGAATAAGAAATTGGAAATATGTACGGATTGGGATGCTCTCAAAGAAATCAAAGGAGGGGAAAGCATGCAGCTTGGAAGCTGTGCATTTGGATCATCCTCCTCTCCTAAAGGGCCTGGTCTAGGGGATGCTGGGACCTGTAGTCCGGAAGATAGTGTAGATATGCTATTGTGTGTTTTGCTTGCCAGGGGGAGTAGTTTTTGTGCACGCGCTGTAGCATTTTTTTGTTGCTTTTTTGGCTTTTTAAGTCCCTTCCACTGTGTTTTTCAGTGTTTTTATAAGTGACTATTTTCACTCAATTGAAAAATGCTTTCCCGATTTTGTGAAATGGAAGCTAGCATTTACTAGTGGTTCACCTTGAGCCCTATTTTTATTTTCCTTTGGCAAAAATAAACAGAACAATGATCTATACTTGTTTGATTGGACCTCCAACAATGGTGCAGCTACACCACGGAATTATTTTAGTTTGACTCTATAGTATGGAATCATGGAAATTGTAGTTTAATGAAGCAGCAACACTCTTTGGCAGAGGGCTGAAGACCTTGTAAAACTACAACTCCTATGATTCCATTGCATTGCAGATAAAGTGGTGCCAAACTTAATTATTTCTGTAGTGCAGTATTAATAACATACAGATTCAGGCCAGACCTAAGACATGGTACTGAATATAGAATAATCAGCTTGAATGTGTACCTGGTCATGTCTTACCTTTTCCACATGGTGAACTAACATTAATGTAAGAAAACACCTTTTCACCTGGATTCAATAAAACGGATCCACATAGGAAGGAGGCAATAAAACTTTGGGATATATAAGAATATTCACTTCTTCTTTCAGATTATCAGTGTACGGCAAGATATTAATACCTATAGGTGTGCTAGAAACTATTTGTATGGGCTAGTACGTTTTTGGGCCCGTTTACAAGGTTATGGCAATTGGGCCTACAGTTACAAACACCTTATTGTAGATTACTGCCCTTTGGGAAATCACAAGACAGTTGTGTTATTTATAATCCCTTAAAGAACTGGCTTAGACAGGCAGTTCCTGAGGATACAGATTCATTAATTCATTTCACTATGTTCAAGAAGACGTGTAAAAGAGAGTACAAAAAACCAGCAAATTCAGATTCTCAATACTATGAGCCCCCGGTGGTGCAGTGGGTTAAACCCCTGTGCCGGCAGGTTGCAGGTTCGAACCCGAGGAGAGGCGGATGAGCTCCCTCTATCAGCTCCAGGTCCTCATGCGGGGACATGAGAGAAGCCTCCCACAAGGATGATAAAAACATCAAAATCATCCAGGCGTCCCCTGGGCAACGTCCTTGCAGACGGCCAATTCTCTCACACCAGGAGTCACTCCTGACACGACAAAAAAATAAATCTTGACTCTGATCCTATTGACCTTTTGGAACTTCAGGTTCCAAAAGTCCCAGCCAGCATGGTCAGTAGTCAGGGATTATAGGAGATGCAGTTCAATGCAGTTAAACTGAATTATGTGAGTCTATACTGTCCATAGATGGGGCCTGAGCACCCCAGCAATATGCAAAGATGGATGGGAATCCATCTAAAAAGGCAGTACTTGGGAATGGTCTTCAACAACGAACAAGGGAGCAGTCCTCCTTGAAAATTAAGGTTTGCTAAGAATTATAATACTAAAAGCTGCAAAGCCTGGCAGACACTTGGACAGTAGGCTTGGCTGATCCAAAAAAAAGAAAAATGGTTCCAAATCCGTTTTGGATGTAGGGGGCACTGGTGGTTCAATTCTAAAGTCAATTCTGATTTTCACAGAAAAAAAATGTCAAAACTTTTCGAAACTTCCAAGACTTCTGAATCCTTTCATTAATGGTTTGAAAGTGTTATTTCCTGTTTCATTGGGTGGTCTTTACTTTGAAAGTAGTTGTTTTACTCCAGAAGAGGAGAAAAGCAAGAGGAGGAAATTCCTTCCTTCTCTGGTTTAAAACTGGCCTTTCTGGCTTTAAAACTGGCTTCTCTGGCTTGAGCCGAGGCCAGGAAATTCCTTCCTTCTCTGGTTTAAAACTGGCTTCTCTAGCTTTAAAACTGGCTTCTCTGGCTTGAGCTGAGGCCAGGAAATTCCTTCCTTTTCTGGTTTAAAACTGGCTTCTCTGGCTTGAGCTGAAGCCAGGAAATTCCTTCCTTCTCTGGCTTTAAAACTGGCTTCTCTGGCTTGAGCTGAGGCCAGGCAATTCCTTCCTTCTCTGGTTTAAATCTGGCTTCTCTGGCTTTAAAACTGGCTTCTCTGGCTTGAGCTGAGGCCAGGAAATTCCTTCCGTCTCTGGTTCAAATCTGGCTTCTCTGGCTTGAGCCGAGGCCAGGATATTCCTTCCTTTTCTAGTTTAAAACTGGCTTCTCTAGCTTGAGCTGAGGCCAGGGACTAGAAGCAGGGAAAAGCTGAATAATTTCTGAATCACTTCCTGAGTTGTAACAAAAATGGCGGGAAAAGCTTTGGAAGGGCAAAGGGACTTCTGGTTTTTAAAAAACTTCAATATCACTTCAAAAAGGTAATTTTAACTAAATTATTATGAGCAACGAGTTATCCGATGTGACTCTATCCATGCCTATTGGACAGCCTTGTGTACACAGCCTTCTTGATCTAAACACAAAGCATCCCCATTTCATTTCATTTTTACGTTCTTTTACCTCATGTGGTTGCAGCAAAGCAGAGGGGACATCCTGAACAACCAAGGGCTTGTTCACCTCCATGCAAACTGCTGCGCGATAGGCCCTTTGGGGCTGCAAAAACGAGGGTCTCTGCAAACCTTGGCCAAAAGGATCCCTCCTGGAACAGAATAGCTGAGTCATGCATACTTTCCTTCCCTCTGTAATAAATAACTTCATCATCAGTTAGGCCAACATTGGCTGGTACAAATATATTCATGCTCTGTTAATGGGTTAACACAAATATAATGTCAACTCTCTCCTGGGCCATGATTAGGAGCTAGAAGCGGGTTGAATGAAGCAGTCAGCCATGTGAAAGCAAGAAAGCAGTCTGTCAACAAAGGAAGAAGAAGAGGAAGGATGGGGACAAAGCAAAGGGAGATTTATAAGGGCAAAGAAGGAGTGTCTCCAAGCATTTACTGTCCATCTTTCTGCCCAATGTATCCCCTTGCCTGAAGGGAATCTGATCATTTATTGTGTTGTTGAAGATTTTCATGGCCAGAATCACTAAGCTACTGTGAGTTTTTCAGGCTGTATGGCCATGTTCCAGAAGCATTCTCTCATGACGTTTTGCCTGCCTGCATCTGTGGCTGGCATCCTCAGAGGTTTGTTCAGAGGTCTGTTGCTAGTGAGGCAAGTGGGGGGGAGGTATATTACGAACCACTGCGGAAACTAAGATCTTCTGGGGAGGCCCTGCTTTCGATCCCACCAGCATCACTGGCGCATTTGGCGGGGACAGGGTCTTCTCGGTGATTGCCCCCTGGTTATGGAACTCCCTTCCAGGCAATATTAGATCAGCCCCCTCCCTCCTGTCTTTCAGAAGGATGGTGAAGACCTGGCTGTGGGATCAAACCTTTGGGGCAGTGCAATGAGGCAAAATGGTGTCCTGAGATGGTTTCTAAACATATAAGTGATTTTAATGTTTGGATATATTTATGGTTTTATGTTCCGGCATTGAATGTTTGCTGTATATATGTTGTGCTCTGCCCTGAGTCCCCTGCGGTGTAAGAAGGGTGGAACATAAATGTTTTAAATAAATAAATAATATATATACTATATGTGTGTGTGTATACACACACACACACATACACACACCTGTGGAACATCCAGAGTGGGAGGAAGAACCCTTGTCTGTTTGAAGCAAGAGTGAATGCTGCAATTAGCAAACTTGATTAGCATTGAGGAACCACGTAGCTGTAAAGTCAGTCAGTGAAGGTATCATTTGTTTGGGAGATATTTAAAAAAACACCAGAATCAAGACAGTAAATAACGAACACCACTCAGAAACAGAAGAATTCCAGACAGCTAACAATCAAGGGCCAGTTAACACCTCCCAAACAGAGGATGTCTTCAGGCAACGAAGGCCAGGCTACTTCACAGCCTGGCCTTCGTTGCCAGAATATCAAGGCAGATAATCCACAATATTTGCTTTGAACTGGTTTATCTGAGTCCACACTGCCATGTAATCCCTTTCAATATGGATTTTATACAGCTGTGTGGAAAGGGCCTAAAATTACAAATCCCAATCCATGCTAATTTAGCTAACTTGTTTCAAAACTTCCCTGAGCCAAATCTAACTAACTGAAGAGCTTGGAAACAAACAAACTTAGACTGGTCATTGGTCCAAAAACTAAGCAAAACCTGAAGGAAGTGGAAATCCCATGAGTCATGGTCAGAGGCGGCCCTAGGTAATTTTCAATGGTAAGCAAACAGTATTTTGGTCCCCCCCCCCCCCCCAAACCAATCACTGATATATATTTTCAGTTCGTCGTGGGAGTTCTGTGTGCCATATTTGGTTCAATTCCATCATTGGTGGAGTTCAGAATGCTCTTTGATTGTAGGTGAACTATACATCCCAGTAACTACAACTCGCATATGTCAAGGTCTATTTTCCCCCAAGAGCGCCCCTGGGCAAAATCAACTATACTGCAAATGCTTACTTTGCGTAATGGGTTGAGCCGCCCCTGGTCATGGTTTACTGGAAGGAGAAGAGGAGTTGGACTGCAGTAGAAAAGAAATAAGGAAGTGCCATAGCTAAGAAAGCCAGAAGGACTGCGAACAGAGAGAAACAAAATAGAAGAGAAGCTGAAACCAGACTGGGAAAGTACAGGACACAGCAACAGCAAAATTCATATATCCAGAGCTTGAGCTGGTGCTGAGCCAATGCAAGTGGACACGAGACCAACATGAGTGTGGTCGAGGTTGGTTGGTAGGCATGGCTCTGACTACAGCCTCATCTACATTTACCATTTAATGCAGTTTTAAGCTAGGTTCAGACTGCAGCTGCCGGGCTACAAACTCCCACAAAAGCACAAAAAGAAAGTCCTGAATGCACATCAGTGCTCTGTGGTTTGTATATTCTCAATTCAGGCCTTAAATCAGGTCCAGGATTTCCTCTGCAATCACCCGCACAGCAAGACCGCATTCTTCAATACTGGTTTGAAACTGGCTTAAATGGTCAGTGCAGATGGAGCTGACACAGAGTAAAGGGGAGAATATGGCATGACAAAAATAGAGAGCCTATAGGAAACGGGGGGGGGGGGGATATGGGAAGCAGGAAAATCATATTCAAAGCACCCCCAACAGATGGCCATCCAGCCTCTGTTTAAAAGCCTCCAAAGAAGGAACCTCCACCACACTCTGAGGCAGAGAGTTCCACTGCTGAACGGCTCTCACAGTCAGGAAGTTCTTCCTAGTGTTCAGATGGAATCTCCTTCCACACTGGGCCCTTCCACACAGCCATAAAACCCAGAATATCATGGCAGAAAATCTCAGGGTCCTTCTACACAGCCCTATATCCCAGGATATCAACGCAGAAAATCCCACAATATCTGCTTTGAATCGGATTATTTGAGTCCACACTCAGATAATGTGGGATTTCCTGCCTTGATATTCTGCGATATAGAGCTGTGTGGAAGGGCCCCCACAATATCTGCTTTGAACTGGCTTATCTGAGTCCACACTGCCATATATTTCGATTTAGAGCAGATAATGTGGGATTTTATTCAGCTGTGTGGAAGGGGCCACAGCTGAATAAAATCCCACTTTTTCTGCTCTGAACTGGAATATATGGCAGTGTGGACTCAGGGCCCTTCCACACAGCCATATAACCCAGAATATCAAGGCAGAAAATCACACAATATCTGCTTTGAACTGTTTCGGACTTCAACTCCCAGAATGCCTAACAGCCGGTAAATTGGCTGGGATTTCTGGGAGTTGAAGTCCAAAACACCTGGAAGGCAGAAGTTTGCTCATGTTTGGTAGACCTCAGGGAGATCAAGGAGGTTTGAGGTGCCAAAGGCAGGGACAGAGGGAGAGAAGAGCAGAGGGGTTCAAGCCAAAAGAAAGGAGAGCCCTAGCTACATGTGATCCTTGGAATTGCACCTGCAGCCCATGTGCCGGAAAGCGCGCCAGGCCCCCAAAAACCAGCGCGACAGCTCCATGGATCCACCAGCAGGTCGAATCAGCAGACTCCAGAGTGTGAAAGGCACACTTTTTCTCTTCCTTCTTTCCTTCCCACTCCGCCCCCCAGACACTTTCCCTGTTTCCATGCCCAAAGTAGGCGGAGCTAGCCTAAAGGGACGCCCTTTTCCCGACAACGCTTTTGCAAACTTGGAAATAAAACAGGGGAAATCCTGCTGCCTACGTCATAGGTGTCGCAATCACACCGAGAAAAGAGGGCTGTGCTCTGCGGCATTGCTTTGGCTTGTCCACTAGAGGGCGCGCAGAGACCACTGCAAAAGGGAGGCGCAAGGAAAGCCTGAGCAGGTTCTCCTATTGGGCTGCCATATAATACAGTTTGTAGACCTTTATGAATGCAGGGCTCTTCCACACAGCCATATAACCCAGAATTTCAAGGCAGAGAATCCCACAATATCTGCTTTGAACTGGGTTATCTGAGTCCACACTGCCATATATCCCAGTTCAACGCAGATAATGTGGGATTTTATTCAATAGTGGGGAAAGTGTCATGAATGACTTTTCAATAACTTTGAAGCATAGGTTCTTTTTATTGCAATTTCCAGTGTGAGAGGGTCTATCAGATTACAGAAAACATTTAGACAAAGAATGACATTGGAAACCTTCTGACCCCTCCTTGGGCAATCTTCCTTTACCTTACTGGCGTGAGGCCCCTACTCTTGGCTCCAATCTGCTTTATGGATAGCCCAAGTGTCCCTTACCAGATAAGGTTTTTTGTAGATCTGCCAAGCTGGTGTCCTTTAAATTTTCCACGAAGGTTGTGGAACCATTCCTTTTGCCTAGCAAAGCTGGCTGTATTTCCCAGCAAAGCTGGCTGTATTTCTTTTTCCCCCAGGAAAGCTGTGAGAAATAGGGCTGGGTGGTTTCGTTCGTTAATTTCCTAATTCGTTATTATTATTTTTTTTATAACAAAGCGATATTGAACCATTCAGGAGCAACTAAAAATCGAAACGAATTTTTCAATTCGTTTCGTAATTGTTTCGTAATTGTTTCGAAATCGTTTCGAAATCGTTTCGTTATTATTTCTGCATGTCTGGTGCAAGTTTTATAGTTGTTGTTTGTTTTATTGTTGGGGTTCAGCCTGAGTTTGAACTTGAACCTGATTCTCTGTTTGTTCCTCCTGATGCTAATGAAAGTATATTTACTGATGCTAGTGGAAATGTACCTTTTGATGCCAATGCTCCTGAAATTAGTGAGGAAGAAACTGCTGTAGGTTTGGAAAATGCCAATGTTCCTGAAATTAGTGAGGAAGGAACTTCTGTAGATTTGGAAAATGAAAGTACCAGTGTTCATGAGAATGTTTCAGAGGGAGACCTTGAACTTTCCCTCCCTTCTGCACCTGTTAACTGTAATGACAACAGAAGGAGCCAAATTTGGGAAGACAGAAATAAAACACTCAGTTTGCGTCGATCCTCCCGAATTCAAGAATTAAAAACATTGGCTTCAAAACAGAAGGGCGGTTCACGGAACCGATTCTTGAGTTTTAATTGCAATACGCCAGGCTGATTGCCTCAGTTCAGGCATCGTTTCAGAATTGATGAAGACCTTGGCAGTTCTCCCGGTTCCCTGGCCATAGTTTGGGAAGATTTCTAGGATATCAAGTACGGTTAGTGGATTGCTAACAGATTCCAGTATTTCCCAGTGAGGCTTTTGGTTTTGCTTGTCCATTTAAATTCATGTTTGCTGATTTTGCTGTGGCTTTTGACTTGCATTTTTCCTTTATTTTGTAACCATTTTTCTTCAATAAAAAAGGATTGTTTTTCACAGTCAAGTGTGGTGGATAGTTATCTTAGGGCCTCGTTCCCTGTTTTATCAATGAAAAAAAATAAATTATCACACCAACAGTCAACAACAGAGGGAGAGGGAAGCTTCAGAAGTTCCCCCTGTCCCATTTGGAGGTTTTTTTAGCGTATTGCGCCGTCGCGTCCGCCATTAACGAATCGATTCGTAATTGTTTCGTAATTGTTTCATAATTTCCGAAATTTTGTAAATTTCGAACTTTTTTAAAGAAAAATTTCGGAATTCTTTTAAAAATCGAAACGCAAAAACCCCCTAAAAACGAATCGAGTTTAGAAACAAATTTTTCCGTGGTTGCCCAGCCCTAGTGAGAAATGAAGCCTGCAGGTTGGAGAGAGAAGCTCATGCGTCCTGTCTGTTAGGCTCCAAGCTGTGAGACTGAACTAAAAGTCCCCTTTTCCCTCCAAACATGGGGAAAGGGGCGGGTGTAAAGGCTCTAACAATGATTGATAGGTTGTTGGCTCTATGATTGCAAACAAACTAACAGCGCAAGAAAAAGAATCAAATCTCCTGGCACAGCCGTGCCAGCACAGTACCTTCCATTCCTTCCTCACTCATTTTCATTTGGTTTCCTCTCATCAGACTTTTAGTGCTTCTCTGTAGGCGCCTGCTATCTTCCTCATTCCATAGGCAATAAGTCTCTGCCCCAGCTTTTTTTCTTCTTCATGCAAATCTGCCAGAACCCCTTTCCATGGGATCCAATTGTTCTGCATCTAAACCCATTGTACCCTTGAAACAGGGGTGTTATTTTAAACCACTTCTTTCCATAGGAAGGTGTAATCATGCATTTCTATAAATAGGAATGACAGCTCCCTGCTAAGTACAATATTATAATTGGAACAAACCAGTAAAGGAAAACTGCCCATTCTCTGTTCTACAATGTTTTTGTTATGCTATATTTGTCATTAATAATTTTTTAAAATAAATTTGTGAAGGAAGGATCATGCACTTCTGTAAAGAGGGGTGACAGCTCCCTGCTAAGAACACCCTATCGGAATGCCCCTTTTCACCATGGCAAGCTCCAAAACTGAACGGAGACTGTCACAGACCCCATCACATGTTGTTTTTAGCCAAAATAACAGGTCCTTTGTGCTATTTTGGCTACATTCACCATCCCCCCCCCCCCCCCATGATTACAGATCTGCTCAATTTCACTATTGCTCCTTAGTTCTTTAACCGGGGGGGGGGGGGATTGAGGGCAGGAGCGATGACTGCTATGGCTGATTTCTCTGGTTGAAGGAGTCTGCAGTGCCTACAACAACCCAAATACATACATACATACATACATACATACATACATACATAAAGTGTGATGAGGTGGTAAGAAAGTTCTCCCAGATTCACCACAAATCATTTTACAAATGTTGCAAACATAACTTTTCAGATGGTGTTGGATTACAAGTCCCAGCATTCATTTATGCTAGCTAGAAGTTCAGAGGATTTACAGTCCAACAATATCTGGAGGCATCCTTTGCCAACTTTTAGTGGAAGACACCAAGGCTCTTCTCTATACCACTGCTTCTTAAAAGTCTGAGTCCCGATCCCAAATGGAGTCCCATAAAATAAAATAGGGGTTGTAAAAATTTGGCAGCAGTAGTAAGTTTCTGAATGCCACCAGTGGCTGTTTTAGACATCTACATGAATCAGTTAGCAACAATGAGAAGTGTTGTTTACAGTGGACTGTGCAGAAAATGTTTCCGTTGTACTGAATGAAAAAGAAAATCAACTTTTTTAAAGCAAGGGTTGCAGATGCTGGATTTACTATCAGCAAATGTTTTTATGCCTATCGCATAAAACTTTCTTGGACAGGAGCACGTCGCTCTCTATCATGTGTACGCTCTAAAGCTCTGCTTGATATCACAGCAAAGTTGAGTAATCTGAACTGGTGAAGCTTCTTCACTCCAATTTTGTCACTTCAAAATAATGTTGTGATCCCTTGTGGGAGAAGAATTAAAATCAATATTGGCTGAAAATGACCATGTACGTGTAAGTCGGCAGGGTGCACACATAATAAGTGTCCGAAACTCACCTGTTACTCTGCCTATTTTTCAGTTATCTGAAAAGCAGCAAGAGAACTTGACAAATGAAGCATTTTCCAGCATGTTTATATCCTCCCGAGAACATCAGACAATTTGTCATCATGCTTCTAAAAATGCTTACTTTAGTCTTTGTAGACAGTATGTCAGTTGCTGCACAAAGAGCTGTCTTGCTTTGGTGAAAAAACTCCTAAACACTGACTGCACAACCTGAAATTGTCACATTCCTGGAAACTGGGGAGCAGGGAATCCACATAAATATAATGACTAAGAAGTGCCATTTTTCACTTGTGGACTCTCTTTAATGTCTCATTGGGTAACATACTATCTGGTTGCCCCAAAATGGGCAAACTCTGATTTATTTATTTATTCATTTTGCGCATAAAAACTGATTGATGGGCACTTATACGTTCTTTTACCACTTTCCCAACCATTTTCAAAAAGATAGAATAAACTCCTCTTCCGTCTTCCCCCACATCCTTGTAGTAATCCTGTGAAATAGATGCATGGGCTTTTTAGTAGAACTACATTCTACAGGGTGAGGCAGCATAACTTCCTTTTTTTAAATGCACGCCATTCAGTCGGTTGAAGACGTAGCGGGGCGCTAGTAGTCTCGTTCGAGAGGCGGGAGTATAAAGTTTCGTCCTGTCACAGTTCAGTCGCCATCATGCGTTGGAACAGTGAGGAGCGTGCTTTTGCCATTGAGGCCTACTTTTCGAGCGGATTTGGAGTGGCCGGCCCGCTCTCCAGATTTGGCCCCTTGTGATTTTTTTCTATGGTTTTTTTTGAAGTCCCGTGTTTATGTGAACCGTCCAAGGACCCTACAAGATTTGAAGACCAACATCCAGGAAGAAACTGCTAACATAATGCCTGCTATGCTGGCAAGAGTCATGACAAACACCAGAAATCAGTTTACTCAGTGTATGGAGAATGGAGAATGGGGGACGTCACTACCTAATTTGATCTTCAAAACTACATAAAACAAAACTTTCCGTATGCGCCTACATTATATATAAAAAAAATTTCTGATTCATACAATGGGTTTTATTAAGTTTTGAAAAAAAGAAGTTATGCTGCCTCACCCTGTACTTTATAGCAACATCCTACTGAATCCTGGAATTTGCCATTTCTGGAGGGGCATTTTGCCCAAAAAGTCCTTCCAGTGCGTCACCAAACTAGGCACCCCATAATTCCATAGGATGCTGCTATGGCAGTTAAAGCAGAATA